GGGGGGGGGGGGGGGGGGGGGGGGGGCCGGTGGCTGTTATATACACATTGAAGCCCATTGGCAAGGCCAGGAAAAGGTTGGCGCCGAGAGAGCATAGACTGCTTCAGGGATCAGCCCAGCAAGCCAGCCATGTCGTTTGAGATCCTGCTTCGCCCTCGGGCTCAGCCTCGAGGAAAGCAAAAAACCGCAACCCCAGCTCCAGCAGCAGCAGCCGAAAGGATCCCAGACTTTGGGAGTGGCCGTCACAGCTGGCCCACCTCCCGCCACAAAATCCAGGTTTGGCCGCATTTTGGGTCGACTGGGATCATGGGACGAATAGTTACGCCGCTTCTGCAAGTGGATCATGGCATATCTCGTACCTTAAGCTCGCAGAAGAAGACAGCTGACTGCAATTTTCGTATCATAGGTAGTGCCAAGATCGACATGTTCCCCTGCAGTAGAACCGATAATGAATGGGGATTCGAGGATTTAGGTTCGTCAATAGCGCCTCCTCCTCGTTTATCTCAGCCACTGATGTTTGAGGCTAAGGGAGGCGTCAGCCCACTTCCAAGTTAGTCGGAGGTATTTTTGGGCTAGACCAACCTCGCCCCAGCCTTGGACGAAGAGCCTGTCTCTAGATGCTTAGCCTTTCCCCTCAGCCACTCGTTGACTGGCCAAGGGGTCACTGAATCCGCGCTGGCACGGTCTGGATCAAACGGCCATGGTTTCGGCCATGGTTCATGCGCCTGGCAGGGCCGAGCCCGTTCTCCGTAGACGTCGTCGCCTGGAGGTGCTGGATTGGGTAATCGCCTTGCGGCTTTCATTCTCGACCCATTGCGTCTCCTACCAGGACCGGTCAAGGTTCCCCAGCCAGGCCGATTAATTTCTCTTGACACTCTGAAATGGTCACGAGTGCCAGAGCAAATCGGCCGCAGATCAATATATGACACGAGAGCTGTCAATCCTGGTCCAGAGTAGAACGTGGACCTGTCCTGTTTCTGCTGGGCCAAGCGCTGACACGATGTCATCTGTCATTTAATCCTTCAGCGCGTGCTCGGGTTACCGGGGAAGTGTCTGCGTAATGACTGGCATCGGGGTTATGCTCCTTCGAAGCCAAGTAGCACACAAGACCGTCACCTTATGCTGTCTCTCGGGGGAGTACTATTGTCGGTGATGGTGACTGAGTCAGGGCGATGCGGGTCGACCTCACTTTGGATCTGTGTGGTGCCATAGGGCAGGCCGGTGCCAGTCCTCAAGAAATTTTTGCCTTTGATGAGCTGCGTGAGCATGAAATTTAGAGCACACTTGATGCCTTGTTGCTCGCCCCGCTTGATGATGTAGCCATTGATGTAGTCGATCTCTGGTTTCTTGCCATGCCGGAAGTCCTCCCGCATGCTGCTTGAGTTTTGTGCCGTCCGCTTGGTCACGCCCACGAACAACTGCTCCAGTCGCCTAGAAGAGAATCGGTGCTGCACATTTGGGATACCTTCCAGCTCGGGTAGACCCCGGATGACGAGAGATATCTCCGCAAGGAGAAGCCTTTGAACGGAGAGCAGGTCCTCGTTGTTGAGCAGCGCTCCATTGGGAACATCGAGGAGGGCAGTGAGAGGGTTTAAGACGCAGTTTGAGGACAGCTTTTCGAGCTGCAGTTGCAGTAGGTCCAAGTATGGAAACGCAGCGCATGCCAGCACCGGCGATCTGGTCAAGGTGCGGAGAAGGTAACGTGAAGAGAGGCTCGCAAAGAGTTCCTTGTCGGTAGGATGATGCTTCTTCCTCTCTTCTTCCGATAACTCCCACAGATGCCGCACTGGCCCCTTGGGAGGAAGAGGGAAACGATCGGGATCTCGATATATGCCTAAAGCTATTGTACCGTAGCCAGCGTGGACGACTGTACAAGGCTGCGACATGTATGCGCCATGGGCAACAATTCCCAGCATGTAGGTCGGGCGTGTTTGAGGATCGGTGAAAACCTCTCGATTGAGTTCGTCAATCTGGCCAAGCCCATTCTGCATAAAACAGATGGTCGTCTTTGCGTTGACACGGTGTCTGACAGAGCGCAGCGCAGCAACAGTGGTGGGACCCTTGACGGCAACTATCAAGCTGTAGATGTAGAGCTCGCCGGATGGCATCTTCTCGCCTTCCTCGACAGGATTGGTCGGCGGTTGGTCCAAACGCTTGTCAGGAATGTAATCCCATTGCGCCTTGCCGTCCTCTGCATAGCCATTGAACAGGTCAACATCGTATCCAATTTGCTCGTCATTGATCTCGTTTTGCTTATTTATCAAACTGATAGTACGGCCGCCTCTTTTGAACACTTCATATTGCTCTTGACGGTGAATCATTAGGGTGATCGGAGGAGGATTGGGTAAACATCTCAAAGAATGGGCGACAAGTGTTCCGATGCTCCCGAGACCTAGGATATGTATACGCCTGGTAAGCAGCTGCTCATTGTCCGGGTCTGGTAATGCTGAGTCTTCCAATGGTTTGGACTCGAATGTGGGAGCGTTTCCGGAGGGCTCAGGCGACGGCGGATCTGTCCACCACGAGCTAGCTTCCGCCATGGTTCTGAACCTGCGACCCGGTTGATCAAGACAAAAGGTGCTTTGAAGCCACAAGCCTGAGCTCACAGCCTTTGGCCATCTGCGCACTGCCCGAGGGAGTGGGCGAAGAAAGAGTCGTTGCGACAGCTTGAAGGTTGGGTTGAGGTTCAACTCGAAGGATGAAGTTGATGGAGATGGGGGATTTATACAATCCTACCTGCCGCGAGTTCGCTTTCCCGAGGTCAAGATATCGTAGACATACTGATAAGACCAATGGAGATCGGTCCGTCCGGTGAGTAGAGCGATAAGGAACAGTGATGAGAGGGCACGAGGGAGGATAGAGGAACGAAGCTGGTCAGGTACATCGCAGTCGGAGAACGCAGTCCGTCAGTCAAAAGTTGATGCGGGGAAGAATCTTTAGTAGAACTTCGACTCCAATTCACGGCGACCTGCGACAGCCACAACATTTTCTCACATTCTCACGTATCCTTCATCTTGCCAGCACAATTTGTCCATTGTCATCGCGACCAGATGGACACCAAGGCTGTGATCCAACTTGTTGACGAGTTGCAGGAGAATATAGAGGACCTTGAAGATAACCTCGATCCAATCCTCAGCGGCGCTCTTGCTGCCACCACGAAAAAGCTGCCCTTGCTCGACCGCGCAAAACTCAATGTCCTCCTTGTCTACTCGATCGAGTCCTTGATTTTCTCCTACCTCAGACTCCATGGTGTCCAGGCCAAAGAACATTCGGTCTTCAAGGAATTGACAAGGGTCAAGCAGTATTTTGAGAAGATCAAGCAAAGCGAGGCGGCACCGCAGAGTTCTCGGCCAATCCTGTCCCTGGACAAAGATGCTGCCGGAAGATTCATCAAGCATGCTCTGGTATATCCTATACGAACGACGCGTTCTCGGGGAAAGCTAAACCATTCTAGGCCGGAAATGAAAAATATGATCTGCAACGCGCCGAGCGTGAAGCCCGCGAGAGAGTCCTTGCGAATAAAAAGCTGAAAGAACTCGAGTCCGCTATGAAAACAAAAGCGGAGACAAATGCAAACCAGGGGCGTCCGTCTGATACCGCCGCTGCACTGGCAGAAGCTACCCAGATTGTCGCGGCTGCACCGAGTGGCACGTCCTCTTCAGAGGAAGAGGGCCTCGTTGACAGCGACTCTGACGGTGATGGGGATGGCGCAGATCCACCCGAACAGCCACAGTCAGAGCCAGGGGAGGGCAAAAAGCGGAAAAATAGGTCAAGAAGCAAATCCCAGAGAACCAAAAGAAAGAGAGAAGCCGATCTCCAGGATCCCGGGAGTGAGGATCATGGGCAGCAGGCCGCAGCAAAGAAGGCGAGAAAGAAGGCGAAAAGGAAGATGAGGCGAGCCCAGAATGCTGCTTCAACAGCTGCTTAACCATATTACTTAGCGACAGCGTCCCTGTCTCCGAAATGTGGGCTTCTCCATAACAGATGGCTTGGGAGAAGACTGGGGGCGTATAACCGATCTTCCACTCTTCCCCGGCCTTTTGCACACGGTCGTCTTGAGCAACAAACCATTCTATCAATTGGAATTCGGACGCTATCTGAAAGTCAGCTTTCCACGTTACCCTTTGGCACCGGCAGAAAACTCGGATGGAAATTGGAAAGCGCAGCTCCATAGGGCAGTAGGTTAGAGGGCTTACGCTCGAACACCAAGGTGCTGGAGTACTCGTTCAGCCGCGGCTGGGATGACCAGGCACATTGTGTTGCCACACAGAGAACATGCGTTCAAGGGTGGATCCTGCATGTGAGGGCATTCTGGTCCCAAGCATTGAGGTGAGCTTCTACAAATTCGTTTCATTGGAGGATTGTCACTTGCTTACCAAGGAGCAACCGGAAAAGGACACACTCAGACCCTGTAGCGGCTGATCTCTTGTGACAGACTGAAGCAGAATTAGTTCGGCCGCTCGTGGGATGCCTGGGTTTTCCAGGACCTGACAAATTTGCCCGATCATGGCATGAACAGACACATGTTCAAGCCCGTCCAAGACTTTTCCTCATTGATACTTTCTCACGCCGCTCCGATGTGTCACAATATGAGCCTGCTGGTATGTTTGCTTGAGCCCAAATCCTCTCTCCTTCGGTCTCTACCATCCCTATCTGCGTTGAGCCAATGCTGGTGCTTGTGAATGCGCACGGTCCAACTTGCCGGGCTCAATATGGCATCTGAAACCTAAGCAGCAGAGGTTTCAGAGGAGAGTCGGAAAGACTTGACACAGTCAATCACATTCGTTCAACCGATAAGTCGTGGATACTGTCCAATCCGTCCATTTGCTCCTGAACTTGTCCCCTTCCTCGTGATCTGCTAGCCTCGCTGTGGTCAGTGCGCTGCTGCAACATCCTGTTGTCGCTTCCGAATATCCGCATCATGCAGAATTCGACACTGTTTACGGTACTGGGGGAAATCTTGACTCGGGGCAAACGTGACCGCTCCCTAGTTCAGTTGGCCCCAGCGGGTATCACCTGCTTTCACACAACCCCCTTTTTTCAATGAGAAAGGCATGAAGCCGAAATTCCATGAGACCAGCTCGCCCTTCCTCATCTGACCAGACGCTCGGACGCCCACTAATACAGCTGCCTGTACAGGTTCACGGACCCAAGCAAGGCCCGAGGTATATCTTCTGACTCACATCTACCGGACGTAAGGTTTCCCCAACCACCTGTCAGGCCTTATATCGAGCTTTGCTGGGGCTCTTGCTCAATCAGATGATAGATCCTAATATACGAGGTACTCTTCCTGACAGACATTCCCACGGTGCGGGCATTGCGATTGGTAGGACGAGGCTGCGCATATACGCCCTTTTTTCCTCCTCCGCGGGGAAAATGTTCAGCCGGAAGGATATACCTCGCACAATATAAGAACAAGAGGATGTACGCGGACGAGACACCTCTTGGTCCCTGGACGAAGCAGATACATATACTCACACAGAGACTTCTCATCGAAGAAACCAATGCTCAACTTGGTCCTTCGTCTTGTCGCCGTCGCGGCCTGCATTTTCGGGGTTGCACTATGCTCATGGATCAGCGAAGAGGTCCTGCGAGATGAGCCTGGCTTTGGCACCACCATGTGTATCGACACGGCCTCGCAGAAAGGAGACGACGCCACCATGTCACCCAAGATGACCACGTCAGAGCCAGGGGAGAGGTTGGGAGTTGTCGCCATTTCGTCATCGCTTGCCCGCTGCTGCCACAATCTCAACTGGAGCAAGCAAGCCGGCCTTCTTCTCGGAAACTTTACTCTGGCATGCCACAAAACCGCCAGCCGCTTCACCAGCGTCTTTGGAAAGGCCTTTGCGAGGTTGAACCGTCCTTGATCTCGATCTGCTCACATCCACGTGCGGGTTTGCCAGAGAGTTGATCTCGCCTACGGCAGCAACACGGACTTTGATCTAAGACGCAGTGGAGCGGACAAGGAGGAGCGAGGAGAAGAGGATTGAGTCCCTTGGAACCGGGCCCAGTCAATGGAGTGAATGCCGATGTCGTGGGCCTGTGTCGATGTTACATGGAGGTCACCTCCGTTCTCGAGCACCTCCCGAGCTCGCTCCCTACCTCCAACATGAGAAGCAAGGGCATCATCTCGAGCACCCTGTCGGGCGTTCTGGACATTAATCATATCATGCCCAGGTTCAAGAACGCCTTGCTTTGTTTGCCCCCTTCAGACTGGGAGGGTTATGGCCCAGGACTGAGTCAAGATGACACAAACGAAGCTGATGATGCATGTCTTGGAGTATTCGTATGTGTGTCTGATCGAAAAACGGCACAGAGAAGTCAAAATCAAGGTTGAGAGTTCATGGTACTTTTTTGGCCTATATGTCCTCACTGGATTACCAATATACCGTATACCACATTAGAGTCATTTATATGTTCGGTTGAAGCTCTTGAAACGAATGTTCGCACCGCTTTAAACCCCAGAAAAAACCGCTTGCTAACCGCTCAATTCCCGAAAAGCAAATTACAATAAACGATATATCCCACATGATAAGATGAACATTGAGAGTCCATATTCCAAGTTCATCACAACCTTCCGAGTCCATAAATAAATATTCGAGAATAGAGCCGATCCACACACTTTAACAACTTAAATCAAGACGTCAGTCTTTTGCTCTGCGTATTGCTTGTGCCGTATTCGCTGAGGACGACGAAACCCACTTCTGCTTGAAGATCAGTCGTCGCCCACGAAAACAGGCATCCATTCCTGTCCCGGGTACGCCGTGGCACTCATCGGAATCTCTTCTTCCGATTCATACCCCTCTGCTTTGGATCCTGGTAATTCAGCAAGCATTCCGGGGGTAGTCTTGTCCCTTGCACTGGAGCGACGTGCTTCCCGTGGGGACGCTGGATTATGGGATCCCTCGAGAACTGAAACGTTGCGATCTAGCCCCTGGCCTGTGCCGGTGGTCATATGCTCAGGATGGCCGCTGGATGCAAGGCTAACGGGCGTCTCACTCCTTGCTGTCCCGCCTTCAATTCGCTCCCTCAGAAGCTGCTTCTTGCGCCGCTCGTTCCCATCATCTTCGAGCCCGGGCACCGTGATTGCAAAGGGTCTTTCTTGATCATCGTCTGGCCGCTTGATGCCACCAACAGGGCTGATTTTCTTGGAACTGAATGTACCGAGCATGTTGTTGACGCTAATATTTTGAGTACCCCGTTGTCGGTTGGAGTCTAGGTCATCAGAGCCGGGACGCCCAAGTCGTGGTGAGCGTGATCGTTTGTGAAGGTCGATGACATGGGTACGAGGGTCCTGTTGAGGTGGAGGTGTAGGTTGCCCAAGAGGGGCAGAGGTAGGCCCGCTTGTGTTTGTCACTCCAGGACTCGGGTTTTGATTGTACGGAGTCGAAGCGTACGACATCGGTCGAGAATAGCCTTGTGCCGGGGCAGTAGCGGGAGCGTAATACTGGGTACGGTTTCCGCCGCTTGTGTCAATACGAAGATCGGATGGCCGACTTTGGTTCGGGTTCATATAGGGCGATACACTAGATGGATATGATCCCACGGTTTGCTGATGACCTGGCGGCGGCGACTGAGGGGTTTGTCCTGGGTATGGATGACTAGTGGCCTGAGATTGGTGTTGATATGCAGAGGGCACCTTTTGGTATTGAGATATTTGGGGCTGAGGGTATTGTGACTGTCCGGGCGCTTGCTGGAAGTAGCTACCTGGGCCAGCTGGATATTGGCCATAAGGAGTTTGAGCAGAATACGGCTCTGGAGATGTGACGCGCTGACCCGGCGCGGAGTAGGGTTCTGGGGAAATAACACGTTGAGTGGTGGTATGCTCCCCATGAGCCTGTGTCTGGGAGGAAGGAGTGGGCGCCGTTGCAGCCCGCGTATTGCTGCTGCTGCTCTTGAACAGATTGCTTCCAAATCCTGAGAATCTCTTCTTCTTACCCTCTGCAGCTCTCTCGCCAGGTTCTGGTGTGGGAGCCCGCAGGAGATCCTTAGACTGCCGCCTTGCAGAGTGAGACTGGATGTTCGACGACGGAAGATGTCCAAGCTGGTCCTGGCGGCTGTATTGGCCGCTCTGCTCCGACGACATACTGTCGGTTCGACGCAAGAAGCTACCACGCTTCTCCTTGGGTATGACTCCTCCAACGTCAACTGGACTCCCGACTTTTTGTTTCTGGAGCTTGGAACGCGATTGAGAGCTAACCCCGAAGAGCTTTCCAAGCCTACTCTTCTTTCGTTCCGCCTGCGGCTCCGGAACCGCTAGTTGAGAAGATTCTGGTTGTGTGGCAGGAGCGGGTGATGAGATCATTGATTGACGATGTTGCTGAAACGACTGAGCACCAGGCTGAGTTGGAAACTGTCCAGACTTCACGTCATATTCAATATGGGCAGCGGCGCCAGGCTTGTAAGAAGACTGCTCGTGGTAACTCTGGCGATTCGGTCTTTCCACTGAGACGTTGGAGGTCGGCCCGGGATGAGACTGAGGAGAAATCTGGCTGGAGTATTGCTGAGACCTGAGCGCACTGGGTAGTGGCGGCCCATTAGGTAGCACTTGAACACTGCTTCGACCGCTCTTGGGTGCAGAGATTTGCTTTGGTGATCGGTATTCCTGCACGTATGGGCCTGGTATACGATATTCCTCGTCCAAAGATGGCTGGTGTTGATGCATGACGGGAATCTGTTGCTGTCCTTTTGGCTGGCGCAGACGATCAAGCTCTTCTTGGGGACGTCTTGCACTAGGTAAAGGACTTTCAGTAGAGTACATCTGAGCACGATCCTTTGGGGGTTGCTCAGGCTCGGTTGCACGCAAAGCTGGATGATTGCCCACATTCGGATCAACGCCGAAAGGTCTGGAATATGACCTTGAAATTCTTTGCCCTGGTGCATTCGCCTGGTCCGTAACCTCTTCAACGCTGACTTGTGACATCTCCTTACTGAGTCCTGCGCTGCTCTGGCCCTGACTTATGGGACTCATTGGTTGGGACGGAATCCTGCTCAGATCTGGTTCATGTATCTGTTCTAATTGGTGGATGGCACCGATACCTTCAATGCCAGCAAATGAGAAGGGTCGATGTTGGCCAGTCGAGTAGTTCTCGCGGGTTTGCTCATGCTGCAATGCTGGCTGCTGAGCTGGTGGTTCAACCACAGGATGTGGCTGTATGTCCTCACCGAGTGGTTTCGAATCTTGTACATGAGAAAGCTCATCTTGGATTGCCGGCGACTGCGACGCCCCTGTCGGAGGCTCAGTTGGACGTTCCTCGGCATCCAAGGATGTTTGGTTCAATACAGCCCCAGCTGCCATTGATTGAAATCGATTTTCAGGCTGGGTTGTTGGTTCTCCAAACGGAGCAGGTATTTGGTCAACTGGTGCTTCGTCGGCAGGTGATAGAGACACACTCCTTCGGGCGTATTGCAGTTCAGCGCCAGGGCCGGGACTTGGGCTAGCACTAGATACATCGGATACGATAGATCTTCGTCGGACCTGTGGGACCTGTAGGCTCCTATCGCTGGAGTGCACGTCGGAGGCTGATCCATCGTGATGCTCCGCAAAAGGCTTTGGTGCGGCGAGAGCATTCGGAGCCAAACCACCAGACTCAATAGCATTGACCTGATGTTGATTTGCAGGACGTTCTCTCTGACTTTTGGTTCGTTCAATATCTCGAACTGGGGATTCAATAGGTGATTGATCGGTAGGTCTGGTCAACTGGCTCACTGAACGGCTGGGCATACCGTTATCCTGGTGCTGTTCTTGGTCGCTGTCCAATGCCGAAATCGCCGGACTATGAGCAAGCACAGGCACGACAGGGGTACCAGAAGAGGTGCTGCCGCCACCAGGTAACACCTTGATGTGCTCCAACTCTGACCGGGTGCTTGTTTGACTCTCTGGAGCGATGGGCGAAGCTGATGTTTCTGGCTGCCGGATTTGATGCAGATCACCGGTCAGTGACCTCTTGAGCTCGGGATTTGAAAACCAATCATTGGGAGAGGCCGGCGTGATATTCAATGGAATCTGTGGTGGACCGTCAAAGGTTGTGGAATCTCGTGGTTGGGAAAGGGAGGCAAGGTCTTCGGGCTCGTCCGGAAGAGGTCCAGTAGACTTCCGTCGGTTCGCCAGTGTCCCCTAGAATCAAACGTCAACCAAGGGCTCGTTCAGGAAAGACAAACATGTTGAAAACGTGGTTTTCCATTCATTGCTATTTGAAGGTGCCCAGAGGAGAAATGCCGTGAAGGTATCCGAGCCAGGTTCTGGGGTCCCTGAAGAACTGAATTCCCGCCATAGCATGACATGCATTCCCTTCATCGCAAGGCAAAAATAGTACAGGTGAGGCTAGGAAAGGGGGAAGATCAACGGACTACCTTTTCACCGGAGCTCGCGTGACGCATCTTCTCCTTTCCTTTAGCAAAAAGTCCTTTGGCTGCAGTGCCTGCTTTGCCACCGAATCGTCCTGCGGCTGCCATCAGCCGCTTCCCATCCTCTTGCATGTGTCCAGCAGATTCTGTCAACATTCGTCGCGGCGACGGCTTGTGTGTGGTGCTGCTCTCGACCGTGTCTAGAGAGAGCCGCCCATTTGTTGCAAACAGCTCCGAATTTTCCGGGGTCTTCATGGACAGAAGCCAATTACCCAGCTGTTCATTTGGCGCGGCGTAGAATTGCCTACTCTCATTGAATGCCTTGATGCGCTCTGCCGAGGAACCGAGATTCATGATTGTACGGAAAGTTGGTTGCCCGTCGAGAGGTTGGTGTGGAGACTGGGGCACCTCTGCAGCAGTCGTGGGAACTCTAGAGGCCGGTACTGGTTGGATGGACTGATGTGACGACACAGTCGCTTGCCTAGATATAGGCTCATTGGCTCCAATCTGAGCCTTGTCGACTGAGCTTGATGCTGGTGGAATTTGAGCTATAATCGTATCCGGAGAACTTGTAGAAGGCGGGCTCATTTGCTTAGGTGTTGACGCTGAGGGCGGTTGTGAGCTGGCTGTTTCCCAGGAAAATCGTTGTTGCAGGAATGGTTTACCGGCCGTTGGCAATCTCTGTTCAACAGAAGGCTCTGTTTGACCAGTGCCTGTCATGTCTGCGTTGATGCTTGACGATGTAGCGTCACCCCGAGGAAATGCAGTGGAAGATTGTGAAGGTATCGTCGTGGATTCAACTCGTGGCAGGTCAGAGCCGGTCAAATTTTTACCATTAGTAAAGGCGGTGGCTTCGCTTGATCGAGGCGTGACGACTTGTAGAGGAGGAAGTTTCTGAGAGTCGAGTTGTGCATCGGTGACAGCTTGATGTGTGGTCCCTCGGGGAACTGTGTCGGACAAACTGCTTCCTTCTGCAGCTTGGCCTTCCAAGTTCGAAGATTTCGGAGTCAGACTCTTGACAATTTCCTGTTGTAACCGCTCATTGTCACTCTCATTGGGGGTCTCTTGTGGCATTGAGACACTGGGTATCGGTGGACGAGGGCCCGAGGTATCAAACAGTCGACTGGTACGCAAAGGTGCCGGTATGTAGTCAACATTTTCACGGGATTCCCTGGCCTCGGCAGAAATATTAGTTGATGACGGCGTTGAGCTCGCGACAGATGGAGGTCGAATCGAGCTGATTACCGGCCCAGAGTTTGTTCTCGTCTCCAAGTTCTCTTGTTCGTTCCCATTCATTTGCTTGCCGCCCCGGCTCTCCGGCGCCGTGCCAGACTTTACTGGCTCTGCCTCCTCGCTAGATGAGCTCGACGCGTCCCATTCGTTTGCATTCTCTCCTTCTGACGATTCGCCAGAGCCTTGCGTTTGTTCGGTCAATCGGTGTCCGGCCAACGCTCCAGCTAGAGCACTTCCAGCGGAAGCGGCTGCGGCGAAAGCCTTTCGGGTGACGCCATCCCCGTCAGAAGTAAAGTTCGTAGGAGCACGAGCAGTAGGTATGCTATCAGTGCTATCGAATCGGCTCTGAGTAAATGGAGGCTGAGGTAATGGATTATTTCTCTGAGTTTGTAAAGGCGTGCTGGTGCCAGGTGTGGCTGAGCCTGCGGATGAGGCATATGATTGCCAGCCCCCAGGAATCGAGGGACGAAAGCTCTCAAATCGCGCTTGTGGTGTTGGTCGCCCTTGGCCGTCACTCGGTGGCGGGGGTTGAGCATGTGGAACGGCAACAGTGGACGGGACAGGGCTCGTTCTTAGTGTGGCTGTGGGATCGTGGGCTTCCATTGTTGATGGAAGGTCCGAGCTCAGCAGGGATGGAGGATTGGCGATGCCTGCAGAGGGGGCTTCTCTTTTGGGTTCTGCAGGAAGTGGTTTGCCTTCCAATGCCCTACCACGAGCTGGTTCCTCTGCTACGGATTGTTTAGTCCCGTCACCGACAAGTGAGCCATGCTGTGGTTGTGGGAGTTCCCGGGGTCCAATCTCACGAGGCTTCTTCGCAGGACTATTATCTCGACTGGGAGGGTTGACCTCCCGTCGATAGCCAGAACGAATAGGAGGTGGTGGAGAAAGCACTTCGTCCTGAGTTGGTCGTACATCACCAGGCTTCAACGTAGCGGTTGAAGTCGGACGTGACTCTGAGTGCGCTGGCTCTTCGGGTACGGCGGCCTTCGCGGTCTGGATGGCAGATAGAGTCGGCCCCGGGTCAGGCCTGCGACTTATTATAGGGCTAATGTCTGTCGTTGAGGCACTATTTGAACGATCAACTGTCTCCGATGTAGAGGTGGGAGAAAAGGGTGATTGGTTTTCGCTCTGATCGAAGGCCTGCTGGACGACTGATCTATAGCCGAGGGTTGGGTGGTGCTGCAAGCCTTGCCTTTTCGGTTCAGCACCTTCGTCTCCAAGGGTATCTTTTGACAAGTGTTCCTTGGGTAACATATCGCTCGAAGACTGCGACGCCATGGGTGTAGGCTCCGACCCCGACTTTTCCACTGCACCAAGGTCCACATCAAATCCAGACGTCCTGTGAACTAGGGGCAACCCAAAGGACTCCTTCCCACTTGGCAAGCGATGATTCGCCTCGGGAGGGTACTCAGTGAGTGATACATTACGAGAGATGGTTGAGGCGGAAACTGGGTCCGGGCGATCGGTATAGACCGATGATGCCGTAGTATCATGTCTGGACACGCCCACAGTGTCAGTCTCGGGCTTCATCTCCTTCGGTTGTTTGATGTCGTCGCTTGGTATCTTGACCAGATTGTCGAACCCATATTCGCTCTTACGCTCCGGGACGGGGTCCAAGGTGGGTTTCAGGCGACGGGTCGAATCCGAGTCATCTCCTGCTATCTGCATAGCGCCTGTATGTTCCTTGGGATCTGACGAAGTCGAGCGGCCACCAATAGAGCCTTCCCTGGGTGGGTTTGACGCTGAATCCATGCTTGGACGGGATGACTCTTGTGATTTGCGCACTTTCTCCATCTCCTCAGGCATACGCTTGTAGATATCTGACGGCCGAATGAACACTGGTGGAGGACGATCGTCAGTAGCAGTGCTACTTCCTGGTCCAGGGGATGAAGAGGGCACGGGTGACTCGTTGCGTGGCATGAAATCTGGCTGAGGCGGCTGTTGGCTCAGGCTTGCTTTGCGCGGAGGGAATTGTCGGTGAGATCGGTTGGAAGAACGACTATCGGGCCTCATGGGACTTTCACGGCGCTGATAGACGTCACTATAAGGGGGATGCCCACCGAAGCCAGCGAGGTTCTGCTGCGGAAAGCTTCCTGGAGCTGAGAAAGGCACATCTTCGTATGCCGGATATTGTCTGCCTCTTGAGCCTGGGCGGAAGCCACCTGGAGGCATGGGAGCCTGTGCCTGGGTGTTGAGACGAAGAGGAGGCTGCATCCCATAGCTTGAAGCAGAGTATCCGTCGTCGTGTTGAGGCTCTGGGAAAGGCGAACGCTGGGTTGTGGGGTATGCCGATTCAAAGCCAACAGAGGAACCAAGATGTCTTCTTTCATCGCCGTGATCAAAAGATGGTCTTTGGCCGGCTCGAGGAGGGGAAGGACTGGTGAAGCTACGATTGGGTGGATAGATGTTGGACTGGGCGCCCAAAGCAGGAGGTCGAGGGTTGTCCGCAGACACGGCGTGTGGCTCATCGTAATCATCATCATCATCGTCTCCCCAGTCTGCGCCCTCATAATTTACCTGGCGGAGATCTTTCCATTTCTTCGAGATGGCTCTTCCCACATTGGTCTTGTAATTCCCAGTACCATAAGGGTTGGAGGTCGCCATTGGAGGAGCAGCCTGCGGCCGGAGTGGCCTTGTTCAAGGATAGTAGCAGAGGCTGGGAATCGTCAAGGTACGAAGTAACACATTTCGTAGGCTATTCGGCCACAGCATATGATTCGATTCTTTCCAAGGGCGCAAGAGCTGCCAAGCTGGTCGTATTACGATGTCCGATGGAATGTTGGCCGCATACGCGACAAACGCAGATGAATAGACTATTTGCGCGAAATTGGCAGGAAAGGAACAGGAGCAGCAGGTCGATTGGAACTTAGAAACGAAGGGTGGCCAGAGTAAATGCGAAAATGGGCAGGAGATGTGAACGGAGGAGGCCCAGCCGCGCAATGGTGGAGGACGAGTACCTAACGGCGGGCAAGAACTGGAAATGAATGGCTTTGTTGCGTCGCTCTCCTCACTTCTGCCCTACGAACGGGACAAGAGGCTGGAAACTTGATTGGAGCAGACGGCAAGAGGGTTCAACCATGCGTCACCCCGAGAACAGGCTGCGCCACACTTGGATGCGACTGACTCGATCCCGATTCCGCTGAAGGAGAGAGAAGTGAGGCTTCTGGGGACCATGGGGGACCGTGGAAGACCAGACCTTTGATTGAGTTTGACAAAGCAAGTTGGATGTGACATACAAGCCTCATGCAGTGCCGCATCATGGCATCACCTGTTCGTGGAATTATTATCATGAAATTAGTCTCCGCTTCCTCACGTTCGGTGCAACGCGAAACCCGTTTGGATTAATATCCCGATCTCAGCTGTGGCTGATGAGGCTGCGACGAGGCTCTTGTCTCTTCCAACTTGTGGCCCGTGGCTCGTGTGGCGGCAAAGACACCTGGACGTTTCCGGCTGCAAAACGACAACCGGGAAGTTCACTTCGTTTCTTCCCATTTCACTGTACTTGTACATACTAAGTTGAGATTTCTAGCCTGGACACATTGTCACCGAGCCACATGTATTAACATTTCCTGCACATTCACCACGATTCTCATGTCATAGACTACGCGCTTAGAATAATCCCACTGCCACCTACTCCTCGTAACTGCGACACGGTTCAACTTGCAATCACCGAGACCCACGACTTCTGCTTTTTTTTCATGCAATATCAAACCCGGATATAAATGATCATGGTTTCCACGAGCATCCAAGACCGGACGAACGAGTTCCGCACCATCCTTGCGCAGGCGCAGAAGCGACAGACTGCAACCAAGGGTGGGCCACAACGACAATCCCTCCTCAGCGAGTCACAGAAAAGAGAAGCAAATGGAGCCGCCAGCGGCCCCTCGAGAGGTTCAAGGTCAGAGTTTGCTCGCAATGCAGCCCAGATAGGGAGAGGCATCACCGCCACTATGGGAAAGTTGGAGAGGCTGGCGCAGCGTATGTCAAGAGACCGGGATGCGATGCGCTTTAGACAGCTGCTGACAAGGAACAGTCGCTAAAAGAAAGGCCATTTTCGACGACCGACCTGTCGAGATTGCGGAGCTCACATATGTTATCAAACAAGATTTGGCTGGTCTCAACGCACAAATATCCGCCTTACAACAACTCACCCAGTCGCAACACCCAACCGCCTCCCAACCCCGATCGGCGGACCAAGAAGGACAGCACAACAAAAACGTTGTGCTAATGCTACAAAACAAGGTCACAGATGTCGCGGCGAACTTTAAAGATGTCTTGGAAGTGCGCACCAAAAACATCCAGGCATCCAGATCGAGGACGGAGAATTTTGTGTCGTCAGTGTCGGCAAGATCCCAACCGCACCTGGACGATTCAAGGTCACAATCACCCCTCTACCAGGGCTCTGCGAGTCGGCAAAAAACTCCTCAGGCCTCTTCAACAGACCTTTTGACCCTTGAGCCTTCAAATACTTCGACTCTGATGAAGAATACTCCACAGTCCGACCACCAACTCCTACTAATGGAAGAAGCACAGCCCACCAACACGTATATTCAGGAACGTGGACAAGCCATCGAAGCCATCGAAAGGACGATAAACGAGTTGGGTAGCATTTTCGGTCAACTTGCAACCATGGTGTCCGAACAGGGGGAGATGTTGCAACGGATAGATGCAAACACCGAGGACGTGGTGGACAACGTTCAGGGCGCACAGAGAGAACTGCTGAAATATTGGAATCGGGTACAAGGGAATAGATGGCTGGTTGCTAAAATGTTTGGTGTTCTCATGGTGAGTTGCATATCCCCAAAGGGCGTCTCAACTTGGTGGCTAACGACTTCAAGATATTCTTCTTGCTTTGGGTGTTGATATCGGGCTGAATGAATGGCAGAATCCTGTTTACCGGCCAATATACAAGCATGTGTGGAGTTTCAGGATTGCATAATGACAGTCTTCCCACTAGAACAGCGAGTGGTTGCGAGCGGTTGTCTCTCGTTTGAAGTTCCGAAAGTCCATGCCCAGCGTGCCACTTTCAACGGAAGAGGCCAACGGCTGTTATGCAATATCCGAGAAGACTTCAATCTAAAAATCTAATGGTCATCACAGTACCTCTGTGGAGATGCTTTCCATCATAACTCGGAACAATGGCTTTGCCTGAGCATCACCAGAGACCAAGAAATGGTATTCAAAATAAGCAATTCCATCAGAAATCGGCGCTGGACGCCTTCCCACATCGATGTAAAATGAGGTGCAATTGAGGAGGGACAGTCCTCCAACAGTGGCGAGGGTGGTTGTAGCGAGAGCCTAAGCCAGCAAATATCGGTATTCATCTCAGTGCTGTTGCCAGAAATAGCGAGTTGCTGGCCTTCGAACTATTGTTTCATTTATGGGTATCGCTCTCGTCCATGATCAATCAACTTTTCCAAGGCCAGTTCCCTTCTTGATGGGTATGTACAATGCGTCGTCGCGATTCTCTTTCTCTCCCTTCTCTCCATTAAACCAGGGGTCAAATCATCGGGGATTGATCGACAATCGATCTCGTCGGGGGTGAACAAGAGGTGGATATCGTGATCGCGCCCATACTGATGATGCCATCTGAGGGGAATCTGTTCGAATGATGCTTCCGATTCCCATGAAGAGCCTGTTGGACCGTGTTGTTAAGGGACCATCCTGTAAAGAGAAATGCGGCGATACACACCCAAACATACTGCCCGACCCCAGCATGTATTTCCCCAGCGTCCTCATCACACCGGCTTGCCCTGCGCCATATTGGAAGATCGTCACGGTACCTCACAGCATCGTTAGTGTGGAACCTCTGGACTGTTGCATCGACCGCGACAAACCGTAGATGAAGCCCATAATGCCTCCAACAGCTGCGAACCGGTTAGTCTTTCTGTAGTCTTTGTCCTGTCTTGTTGATGCCATTGTTTGACTGACTTCCGCCCATCAACATGCCCATTTTCACTGCGAGCGACGTTAGCTCCAGACGAGCAACAGAATGCGACGCCGGACCACCTACTCTTATCAATCCACGTCGGCCCACGGCGCTGCGCGGAGGGTGGTATTGGAGGCATGTTGCCGCTGTTGTTTTTATTGTGCTTGCAGTTCTTGCGCGAAGCAGTGGCTACTAAACAAAGAGCAAGCAAATTGGAGAAGGTAAGGTGAGGGTGCAGTGGCTGTGACGATGGAAGCCCCCCATCCCATGCCAATCGGAGTGGATAGAATTGCCGCCGACCACGGGAGAGCAGAGCACGTGATGTTACTACTAGCCGTTGGTTCGGGGAGAGTTTCCACAAGTTCCAGAGCGTCAATCTGAACTGCTACAGAACCACGAGTCGCATCCTCGTGAACATCAAAAACTACCCCAGACAGACACCAGTCGCCTGAAACCAACCGCCTGATGGGAACGGCATCCCTTTGACATACTGTCACGCTTGCTCGACTGAGAATTCGACTCTCTTTTGAACTGCCGGAGCTCAGTGATCAGCCCCAAATCGCTCCCGTCAGACCCCTCGCTGTCCCGACGTCTGCACGCGAGCAGCCTTTTTCCTTCCCGATCTCAGTCTACATCCCCTGTATGTCCTCGATCCAATTGATACCCTACTTCTCTTTTCAATAACTTGCCAGAACGCCATGAAAAGAGGCCTGTTGATTGACATAGTATCCCTCAGAAATCAGATTCACCGATCAACTTCTCGAGATCCGACACATGACGGCCCGGCACAACGACGAATCTCTGCTTTTCTCCGCTCCCGTCACCTCTTCCTTTCGTCTATCTTCGATATAACCCCTCTCAAGAGCATAGAACACCTATCCTAGCGACACGACATAACCCCCGTCCTCTTACCTCCCGATGACGACCGCTGTGGCATCGCCCCCTAGTTTCCCAAATATCTCCAGGCTCAATTGGAATGGTCTAAGCGGCACAGGAGGAGGGTTTTCTGCAATGAGCACTGACGAAGTGTCTCGGATGTTTTTACCCCAGCGCAAGACTGTGCAGAGGAGCAATTCGTCTTCATCACTTTCATCCACAAGTTCTTCTGGGTCAACAGTCACCCTTACCCAGAACGACGGGTCGTCAGAACCCGCACATGGACCAAAGAAAAAGGCAAGAGGAGGGTTTTGGCCTGTCTCGAAATCGGAATCGACAGCGAGCGTCTCCAATGCCCGGGCAAATGGGTCGCTTCAGACAGCCATTGGCAACTCCTTGGTAGGAAAGAGCCCAGTGCAGCCAGCACTGCCCAATCAAAGTCCTACGGCTCAGGTGAATGGGACAAGAGTCGTAAATGGAGCGGTCACTGGCGAGCCAGCGGCGATCTTGGCGCTGTTACCCATGAATGGCACGTTCGAGAGGAAACAAATCAATCTCCCCTTCTATCCAGAAGTCCTTCGCATCGGCCGACAAACAAATGCAAAGACTGTTCCGACTCCGGTGAACGGATATTTCGACTCCAAGGTCCTGTCACGACAACACGCCGAAGTGTGGGCGGACCGAAGTGGTAAGGTGTTCATCAGAGACGTCAAGTCATCAAACGGCACGTTTGTCAACGGACAGCGACTCTCACCGGAGAATCGAGAATCCGAGCCTCATGAACTCCGCCAACACGACACACTAGAACTAGGTATCGATATCGTGAGTGAAGATCAAAAGACCATTGTCCACCATAAAGTCTCAGCCAAGGTTGAGTATGTGGGCCTGCCTGGGACGACCAACAATGTCCTCGATCTTACCTTTGGCGACCTGGATCCCTCTCACGGTGGTGCGCTATTACCATCGCCTGTAAGTTCACCCATGCTTCACAGTCGAAGCCGGCCCGGAGGACCGACCACAAATGGACGGACCTCAGCACCTTCAAGCGTTGCAGGCAGCCAGATAAGTTCGATTGCTCAGCAACGGATGAATATGTGGGGTACCACACCGTTGAATGTGGAACAACTGGTCAAGACAGTTGCCGTATGTCACTCCCTACAACTGTTGAGAATACCAGAGGCTAACATCAAATCCTAGATGGAGATGCGGGCAGCAAGACAACAGGCGGATGAACTCGACCAGGCTGGCGCTTTTCTGAACTCACTGTTGACACCTGGGGTTGAACCTCCTCGGCTTAATGCCTCGTACAAAGAAGGTGTTCCTCAACGCCAATCTAACGGACGTGTTAAAGGGTCCAAGATGGAGCATATGGCTCGCTTCGCCGATCCCCCAGCACCCCCGCCACAACAACCGCTTCCAGAGAAGCCAGACAGCTCGAAGGCAAGTCCCGTCGCAACATCGTTCACAAATCTCCTGAAACGTGGCGAAACTGCCAAACAACCCAACAATACTTCACACTCTCCCACAAATGCTCAAAACAGCCAGATGATGTCTCTGATTGAGGCGCTGTCCATCGCGAAAAAGGAACTCGACTCTCAGGGAGCTCGAGTGAAGCAATTGGAGGATATGCTCAAGCAGGAACGGTCAGCGAGAGAGGATGCCGAGGAACGAGCACGAAAGCTCGAACAACACGCGGCATCGCGACCAGTCTCAGCCGTTGAAGAGGAATCAGAGACACCAACAGACTCCACCCACGACACAAAGGCTGTCGAGGAAGAAGCAGGGCATGACGCGGACGGCGAGCTTGATGCAAGGACGAAGAGTCTGCAGCAGAATCTGGACCAAGTTCTGGGAGAGATGCAGAGACTGAAAGCAGACGTGGACCAATTTCAGCGTCGCGCAGAGACAGCGGAAGCCGATGCCGCCAACGCCCGGAAAAGCCTCGCCGAGATGATTGACAAGATCCGAGAAGAGAATGAGAAAGCAGAATTATCGGCAAGGAAGTCTCGTGAGCGGCAATCACATGTCCAGGCTGATGAGAGCGCCGAGGGGACTGGAGGGGAGGAGGTGGAGCCGAGCTCGACGGGCATGGTCAAGTCGGTCGTACAAGCAAATGGCCACGTCCGCGCACCGAGGCTACCTGAGCATCTTGAGCGAGCCGTGGCAACAGTTCTACGGGACAAAAGCGCCAACCCAGATGCCCTTGCTCAATCAGCACCGTATGTGTCGATGCTGGGGGTAGTCCTGATTGGAGTTGGATTAATGGCGTATCTCAACTCCTGGCAGAAGTCGGAGAGGTGAGGCGTCAACGCCAGAAAGCAAGGATTTTCATTTCGTTGAACATACTATCTCATTCACTTCTTCAGTCGGGTCGCCAGCGCCGGGAGTCTCACTCGTTTTCTCTCCAGCATGGTACGGGCGTGGCGTTACAAATGGACAGCATTACTTTCATGGGCAGCGATACTGCCAGGCTTCGGTTGGGGGCCATGGCCCATGCCGAAATTGGCGAGGAGCACGGCGTCAAATGTGTGTCAAAACAGAGCTTGGACATTATCATGGCTGAGCCACAGCAACCAGTAACAGATTGCGGGCAGGGCGTTGGTCATGGATTGCACGAGAAAAAGATCTGGGCGGGATAGGCGTCATGTATATATGCACGTCGAGTTAGGATTGTTGTCAGCCTGGTTACTATTTCGAGGCACACGAGGTTAAGACAAGGTCTGACCAGTCCAGTCCAGCAAGCTAACATGAAATGATGATACGAGCTTCAAGAACAGCCATGGCAAAGCTTTGAGCTTCTGGCCAGGAGGGCATAGTATTATCAATTAGTATAATCGGATCCGTGGTTGTTCGTAGTGGCGGATGCCTGGATAATCTCCCCCTGAACAGGCTGAGCAATAGGGGGATTAGCGGAAGGCCGAGCGGGAGTTGGGTCCCGTGGCTCTCTACGAGTAAGATAGATTTTGTTGAGCCTCACCAGTCCTACGAGTACCTAGTAGGTACGAAATACGAGGTACAGGCCTGTGGCCCTCCATCTTAGGGCCTATTACAGTGGTTATCAGTTGGGGAAGGCGGTTGAGGCTGGTGAGGCCCCAGGCGACGCGACCCATTGTGTCCTCTTTTTCGGCGAACGAGGCGCCAGTGGAGCCTTGGCCAGTTCCTCCAACGAGTCCCATCATCAACCTTCGGCCTCCGGCGGCAGCTCTTTTATCTTTCATTTCCATCTTTCAGTCTTGCGCTCGGTGACGGCAGTATTACGGCATTTTGGTGGTCACTCCTCGGATTCTGTCCTGTGTATCCGGATCGTCTTGGGGAAGTAGATGTCAAAATGACGTAGCGAAATACAAGATGATGGACACTCCGCACTTGTTTTCCGGATGTTGTCCACTTCCTGCTAGGGCCTCAACGCCAGTGTAACTTCCGCTCATCCATGGGGAGGAGTTGCTATCAACCTATAGCGGGCCCAACACGGCCCAATACGACAAATCTCTCGGCTCAAGTGGCCGTTGCAATGCTTTGCTTCGCGTCTCTCCGGTAGGTTTGTATCATTTTCGGTGACAGCAAGGCTAGTATAATGAAACCCGTCACGCTGCGTTGTGCAATGCTCCCCAGATGGCAGAGGTACCTCAGGGCTGCCACATATGAGTACAGGTCAAAAGCAACAGGGTTGCGGACCGATCAGCGTTCGAGAGGTCATTTGCAAAGACGCTGGTTCGCTACGCCGGTCGACATCACCACAAATGCAGACCAAGATTCGAGTGATCCCAGGGGAAAGGTGGTGATTCTCGGTAGTGGTTGGGCAGGTAACGTACCCGTCTTGCCCTCGAGTGTGCTCCCAAGAAGTGTGCTTACCCAGCATGAACAGGTTATGTCCTGGGCCGCCAGCTGGACAAGCGAAAATACCGCGTCGTCATCGTCTCTCCTCGCTCCTACTTTGTCTTCACGCCCCTCCTCAACGACACCACCGTTGGCACCCTCGAATTCCGAAACGTGCTCGAGTCTGTGAGAAAGAAAAAAAGTGGCTTGGAGTACATCCAGGGCTGGGCAGACGACGTCAACTTTGCGGACAGGACTGTTACCATTGAACCTTCAGTCCTGGACCCAGATGTAGGCCACGCACTGACCGGACCGAGGAAACCCAATGAGCAGCAGACGGCCAGCGGGTTTGCTCCAAGAGATGCCTTCCCTCATGGACCGTGGGAAAAGGAGGTGCAAATGGGCGGGACTGGCTCAAGTCAAGTTCCTACGTTTCCCATACACTACGATAAGTTGATCATTGCAGTTGGTACCTATAGTCAGACGTTCGGCACCAAGGGCGTGAGAGAGAATGCATGGTTTCTAAAAGATGTACGGGATGCAGTTGCCATACGTCGCCGCATCCTGGAGTTATTTGAACTCGCGAAATTGCCCATCCTGCCCGAAGACACCAAGAAGCATCTCTTGCACTTTGCGGTTGTTGGCGGTGGTCCGACGGGCATGGAATTTGCAGCCTGCCTGTCGGATCTGCTGAGAGATGATCTTTCTAAGATCTACCCTGAGCTGATGAAATACGTTCGCATCTCTCTCTACGACGTCGCACCCAAAGTCCTCCCCATGTTCGATGCCTCACTCGCCGACTACGCCGTAAAGCAGTACAGACGCCACAACATTGAAATCAAAACCTCTCACCACGTCGAAGAACTCCGCAAGGGGTTCCCCAATGACGAAAAAGCCCGTCAGGACCAAGCCAGTCAAGTCAAGGGACGAGTCTACACGATCCATATCAAAGAAGAAGGCGACGTCGGCATTGGCATGTGCGTGTGGTCCACGGGGAACATGAACAACCCGTTTGTTGCCAAAGCGCTCTCTCATGTGCGTCGATTCCCGACGGAGTCGGCACAAATCACTCAGGGGAAAGTGACCAACCCGATGCAACGGCAGTGGATCATCCAACGAGATGCCAAAAGCGGCGTCATCTTGGTAGACGACCACTTTCGCGTGCATCTTACGACAGAGTGCGCCGAGGGGATGAAGGAGGACGAAAAGCCCAAGGCGTACATGAAAGATGTCTTTGCATTAGGAGACACCACCAAGCTGATGTCCGGCGCCCTGCCAGCGACGGCGCAAGTCGCGAATCAGCAGGCCCTCTGGCTCGGGAAGACGTTGAACAAGCACTCTTCCCCTGACGAGTTTGGCAAGGAGCAAGGCTTTACGTTCAGGAACCTGGGGGTCTTGACGTATGTCGGAGGAGCCAAGGCCATTCTTCAGGGAGGGAACGGGAACGGTGGCGGTGCCGCCAACAGGGTCAAAGGGCTGGCCGCGTACCTCATCTGGCGAGGTGCTTATCTCACGATGACGCTGAGTTGGAGGAACAAGTTCCTTGTCCTTGTGCAATGGGTGACTGTCAAGGTGTTTGGGAGGGATCTCAGTCGGTTCTGATGAGTAGTTGTTTCCAGGTTGCCGTCCTAGGAATACTACAGAGCTGGAAGAGCGGCTTCTTGGGGGAGGGGGGAATAGTAATGCGGTTGAGCAGGGGTATGGGTAAGCGGTTCTGGATAGATGGTTGGGTGTATCGAGTTTATATGCTTCCATGCCTGAATAGGAGGCTCGAAGACAAATTCAAAAGCGTTGAACACCGATACACACGGGGCCTTACCTACTAGGTAGTTACTATCTGTCTCGTCATAATAGAAGGTGAAGACGGTTACTATCCAGACTGGGCGACGCTTTCTTCCCCCTCGAGGCCACTGGCTTACGGGCTGATTATGGCTCGTGCGTCTGCCGTCCAAGTGGATAGTGGAACCACGAGAGCTCGAGCCTTATTCCGGCTTTCGTCAACACCGCGCTCGACCGACCGACAGAATCTCACATCCGAAGGCTTCGAGCACATTGGTAGAACAACGAGAAAACTAAGACCCGTCTTGCCCGCTACGATATTTCATTCGGCCCGCCGGCTGCGGGAATTCTCTGCTTTGGTGTGACTAGGTAGGCACATGGCCAATGGACCATTTCTCAGGTATGCCCACCCCTGCTCCTTGGACATGAGCCCTTTCGCCAACAGATTGGAACTTGGCCAGGGGGAGACGAGTCTTTGCCGTCCCTTGGCTTCAGTAAGCAAGCTCGACCGAGAGTATTACTGACTGCAAGATCTGGCCGGTTTTCGCTCTCGGAACCCGATCTTTATATATACGTCCTGTGCCGGTAAATCGTAAGTGTGTGCGTATATAAAGGTTGAATTCCCTTTACCTCCGCGGCGCCGCCATTCCAAAAGGCAAAGCACCACATTCCCTCCGCCCTTCCCCTAGAGGACCAAAAGCCAACTCCAGAAAAAAAAAGAATACTCCCCCAACTCGGAAGGTCATGGCCGAAATAGTTTCTGCACAGGTTGCCCAAACGCTCGCGTACAACAACCTCCTGCGCGTCTTCTCCAACCGCGACCGCGCCTCCCGCCTCGCCATCATCCGCGAAACGTACACTTCGGACGTGACGTTTTACGAGCCCGACGTCATCGCCACGGGCCACGACGGCGTCGACGCCAAGGCCGAGGAGTTGCTCACCGCTCGCGCAGGGTGGGAGTTTGTCCCCTCGGGAAACGTCCAGAGGAATCATAATATGATCTGGCTGGCGTGGGGGTTTGGGCCGAAAGATGGCAGCACGGGGGAGGTCGATGTTAAGGTAAAAGGTGGGGATGTGTTGATTGTGGACCTCGAGCAGGGCAAGGTCAAGAGCTTTTGGGTCGTTATTGAGGGTGTTACCGATTCCAAGGAGTAGAGTGGTGGAAAGGAATCCCTAGGGAGAAGGGGGGCAGGTCAGATACGGGATACCGGGTATGTTGTTTTTGTGTCGAGGAAAGCAGAGGGAAACGTAAGGGGACGTAAGGTCTAGTATATTGCGCAAGGAGAGAAAAAAGCTCTTTTGTGATTTTTGTGAGTGTGGTCTACCTATCTCTCTTGTGGAAATCGGTGGAGTGGCTCATGACATTGCTGTCCTTTGAACCTTTCCACCGGTCCGTCTGAAAGCCATACCCTCTGTTTCACGCAATGATCAGGCTCCTCATGTAACTTTTCAGCTCCGAGACCTTCATGTTCAGCTCTCTAGCATCTTTCCGCCGACGCTATTTCTGTCTTGGAAACGATTTCTGTTCCGATCTACTCTGTCAGAAGGTGGTGTTGGCAATCATCCAAAGTCCGGCAGATTGCAGATCTTCACAAGGTGTGTTGTAGCCATTGAAGGGGAAGTGTTGTTGTCAGCAGGTGCTCCAATTCAGCGCTCAAAAGACAGCCTTGCTTTCTTGTCCACCATTCAAGCCTTGGCAGGCCAGCAGCTGCAGTACCAGTGGTTGTTTCCAGAGGCAGAGCAAGCAGCCGCCATTGTCTTGTCGCTGCAGCCAGACATGGCACTGCTGTCGCAGACGATTTGGGAGTACTCGTTGCTGTGCACAACAATAGTCAGTCTCTATTGAAACGTCTTCACGGTCTTGAGTGTCGAATACTTACCAGGTGCAGAAGCGAAGACAGTTGTCACCATTCAGCTGGCCGTCGCAGGTGGAGAGGTCCCATGCCATGGCGGTGTCGGGGTCAGCAGCATTTCCGGTCGGGTACTACCCACCAAGTGTCAGCTTTAAGATGTTGACAGAATGCAGAGACAGAAAGAGTGTCAAGGAGAGAATGGGACTTACGCAGCCGATCTTCATGGCGATGTCGGAATCTGGCTTGGGAGACTTGGGCATGAGGCCAGCAAAGGAGACAGAAGTGAAAGCGAGGAGAGAAGCAACAGTGAGCAGCATCTCGGACTGCATCTTGAAGACTGTCTGCAGTGATGTTGGTATTGATGTTGACGTTGTTTGCAATGATGATTGTTGGCAAGACGGAAGCAAAAGCAAGATTGTTGAGCTGTTTTTAGAGAAGAGAGAAAGGAAGGATCTCTTGAGTAGTGGAAGAAAGAAATATTTATACCGTGAAGTAGGAAGGTGGAAGGCAGACACGTGAAGATCGAGCGTGAATGTTGACTTATATTCACGATCAGTGACACGGTGGTGATTGATCTTGTCACTTGGAAGGACAGATAGGACGGCAACATAGCGATAATTTATGCCTATACACAAGTGAGAACAGACAAAGCACACAAAAGAAGTGAAAGTGATGTGTTTGTCAAATGCCTGTGAGAATTGGATATGTTCAAAGAGACCAAATTGACCGATATGATTCGCAATAACAGTTGTAGCATTGATCAGGAGCTCAGACTCCCATGCTTCCTTTTCACCTTTATTTGATATCTGATCAATATTTTGTTCACGAGACACTCATCCTGAGATTTGGCTCACCCCTGGGCAGCTGCTCACTGGAGCTTGGTACAGTGATGGTTGACCAGCATTTCAGGCGAAGAGGTGTCAAATACCAGAGGTAAGCAATAGACAACCCCGTACAAAGCATCCGTATCTCCAGCTCCCTTTTGCTCCTTAGAAAGCTGGCGCTGGCGACAAGCTGGTCTCGGTGAGCGCGCCCTTGATCCGCTCCATAGCAGCATGCCAGAGCCCCTAGCTGGAGCAAGGACGTCTTCTTTCATTTCGGGCTTTCAAACACTGCTTCATTAATACCCAATGTTCATACCTTCTGGTCTGTAGGCGTGCCTACACCAACAAGATACCTTCCTCGTGTCCCAGAAGCTGTGGCGGGCTAGATCAAGTCGACAAGGTCCTTCTCAGAGGACGCACGGGGGTGTTTGAAGTTATTCCATGCCTCTCCCACGTACCTATACCACCCAAGGATTTAGGTCCATCCATCTCTTGCGATGGTACTTGGCAAGGGATCATCGACAACCACTGGCATCGCTTTCCTGCGGTATATGGGACAGGCGGGGTTTAAGAGGAAACGCCACAAGATATCCGCGAGAGGAATTGGAGTTTGAGCAGGGGACCCTGGGATTCGGAGAGGTTATTTTCGCATAAGCCAGCCCCAGTGGCTGCACAAAACACGTGTGGCAAAGAGGACCTGGCCTTGCATTCGTGGTTATGCAGAGGCGGGATGAGATCTTCCGTGGAGAGATGCAGTCTGGGTGATGGGGATAGAAGCCATGTTCCACTGACGATCTGGAATGGAAGTGCCGGGCGTGGAGAAGCATATGATCATAGTCCACCTAAACAGCTTCACGGAGATAGGTACGTAGGTAGTGGCGAGAGAGCTCTTTGTACGAGGTACTATTACTCCGTATATCTGCAGCGGTCAATAATAGATGATAGTGGTGGAGCAAACACACCAAACAATAATAATACAGTACACGGTGGAGGTCCTCAGTAGGTGGCCTGGTCAGTGGTGGCTCTGGCTTGTCTGGCTCGTCTGGCTGCTGGCTGTTGCTGTTCGGGGAAACCTCGTGAATCCTCGTCGTCATCTTGCAGAAGATTTCGCTTTCGCAATACTGCCAACCTCCGTGTTCACATTCACGTCTTACCAAGATGCTCCAGCAACGTCCATCCCACCACCCGCTCATCATGCTACGCGACACTCGGTGACAGTCTCTTCCAAACCACCCATGACAGCTCTGACAACCTCCCCCTCCGACGTCCGCCACCGTCGCCATGAGCTCCCTGCTCAACCCCATCCACAGCGCGAAGCAGAAATGCCGCCCCAAACACCAAGTCCTTGTCCTGAAATGCTACCCCAAATACCAGAAAAATGTTCAGGAGGTCAAGCCCATGTCCTCCGAGCTCAGCTACCTGCTCTATTATGCATCGACTCGCCGCAATAAACTGCAGAAGGTCGGCGCATTCCTCGAGAAGAAGAACGCCGGTGATGTCTGGAAGGGACGGCTCGGGTGCGCATCACAATATCTCCGTCACTATCCTTGCTAATTGTGCTTCAGAAATGTCCAGGTCACCCTCCAGATCCTCGCTGCCATCATCGAGAAAGCGCCCCGCGATCTGTCCCTTTATTCCAAATCCGTTCTCACCATCCTCGATTCTGTCCTACGTTCGAAAGATGTAAACATGGTCGAAGACTCGATTCCTACGTTTGAAGCCTATTGTAAATATGTCGACGTCGCCTCCCTCACGGCTGATCAGCAGCGGGCTCAGCAATATATCTCCCTCGTCCAGCACTACGCTGGCTTTGCCTTGAAAACAAAACCCTCGGATAAGAAACACGGTGACCCCATTCCGCTTTCTCTTAGATGGCGGGAAATTGGTCTCCGGGCCATCCGAGCACTCGTGGCCTCCGACGCTCTGGCTGTGGATTCCAGTCGACAACTGAATCTAGTCATGCCTGTCATTCTGGAGAACATGTCGCTGGAAGAAGAGAATATCCTGGCAACATTGCAGCAGCGGGCAAAGACAAGCGAGAGGATGGACGACGAATCCGCCAGGAGGAGGCGCATGAGTATTGCCACAGTCACAACCGTGGACACCTTTGACGGCGATCCTGCTGCCGCGGTAGAGACCACTGCTGGGGCGGACAAAGTCGCAGAAGAGGAGGTTAGAGCTTTGGCATTGAGATGCCTAAAACAAATCTTTTCTGTCGGCATCGGAAGTACAAGGGGCCAAACTAGGTTGGCAACAGCTTTGACCCTGAAATACATTGCTTCCAAAAATCCGCCCAAAGTTACCCCAGAAACATCGAGAGCCGGCAACTGGGCGACTTCCCTGTTTGAAGCGATTGCGCGATGGACCCCAGTACAAGATCGTTTCATTATCGTTGTCACCGCCATGGAAACACTGGTTAGAAGCCCCATGGTGGAAGGAGTCCTGGAAAAACAACTAGTCCTCACAACCATGATCGATTGGCTTCTCAGTTCGCCTGTGAATCTCATCGGACTGAGCGTCATGGATGTTTTACTTGGGTTCATCCAACACATGCTCGTTCTCCTCCAGCTTGGTGGACCAAATGCTCGCATTACACAGTCACATCGAGAGGACACTCTCGGGTTCTATCGAGAAGCCAAGGAGGCATTCGATCCAAGTTCAGTCTTGACCGAGACCAAGATGTCCCGAACGCCCTCCAAAGAGTTGACAGCATCGCCCGTCCGGCAAGAACTGCTTGAGAGGCTGCAGAAGTGCATCGCCTCTCTATCCAACCACATCTACTACACAGACCAGATCAGCGACATGTTGACAGCCATTCTAGCGCGGCTGAAACCATCACCACAGTCTGAAGTCCCGACATCGGCAGCTGCGATCAATGACCCAGCAGCCGCAACAAAAGCAATTGCGGAGTCTGCGAACATACAAGAAGATGCCAACACCTCTACGTTCTTCTCGTTCGCGACTGCGCGGGTCGCAGCTTGCCGAGTCATCAGAGAAATCTTGGTTCGCGCCAACAGCAGACGAACTGCCACAGGGACGCCAATTGAAGCACGTGCTCGAGTCGGAGTGCAAGTGTGGGAAGGCACTCAATGGCTCCTCAAAGACGAAGACCAAGAAGTGAGGTTTGCGTACATTGACGCGCTGTTGGTCTGGCTCAAGCTTGAAACCAACAAGAGCGACATGCTTCTCCCCCGGGATGGCAATCGAAAGCAGGCCCAGTCCAAAAAATATCAGGGCGAAAATGGTGTGGCTAAGAGGGCCGTCTCGAATGCATCCCGCAAGGAAAATAAACCTACAAGATCCACCTTTCTTGCTCTGCTACATCTCTCTGTTTACGACAGCATCCTTGACGACGTGGAAAATGAAACGAATCTGCTACTTCTCTACCTCCTCCTAACCAAATTGGTCGAACGGCTCGGTGTCAATGCGCTCCGCAGTGGCTTGCCCATGATACTCAGGCTCCAGGAGACAGCTCTTAATGGAGAGGTTGTCTCCATTTCTGGAAGAGTCAATGTCGCGAGTGTTGTGCATGGCTACCTATGGACAATTGCGGACAATTTTGACTTTGAGACAAGTTCAGCCGGTCATGAGATCAATGCAGAGATTTCTAGGAGGAAACGGTTTGGAATCTGGCTCGACAGGGTCAGATTTCCAGCTCTGTCCGTCGAAGACATCAGGCGTCTTCGTAAGGAGAACCAGCAGGCCCCAGTCTATAATGTAGAAGCCGTCGAAACCATCAAGCCGTTCCTGTCAGTTGCGCAAGTTGTGGAGGATATTGCGACATCGTATGACAACGCTTTGCTGACGCCGCCAACCTCTGCCCCATCGTCACCTGGGAGAGTCTTCTCTGTGCCAACCCTTGGATTTGGCTACGGTTACGGAGCAGCTCCTCAGCCGAAGGCCTCGAGGGAGGACCAGCTTCCACAAAAGGTCAAAGACGAGATGACCGCTGGGTGGAGCAGAGAAGCATGCATAGCTGCGGTCGAGAAGGAGAATGCGGCATCTGTGACAGCATCTCGCACAGGGGCATCTTCCATCCCCAGACAACACCTCGGTCTCAATGGTGCGGCTCGTCAGTTTGGTTCTGTGAATGGGAAAGAGTCATCCGCTGGCGGTGGGAAAGAGTCCACGCCAGCGGTTAACGGCACCACAACCCCAACTTACGGCCTTACGGGTGGATTAGGAAGCCTCACTCAGATCCGAAGGGCGAGTGCCGCTGGTTCACCTGCAAGGGTCCCGACCACGTCTAGCAGGGAATCGACGGTAAGAGTCACTGATTTGAAAAGAGCGCTGTCCGGATATGTCGTTACTGGAAGGCGAAAGAGTCCGCTGCGGAGACCCGTGGCAAGTTCTCGGAGGAGTACAGGGAGCAGCGGAAGCAGCAGCATGCTTAGTTGGGATGATGCTGACGATCGAAATCCGTCCTTCCTCGATGTAGCAGGCAGTGACAATCCAACCGAGCAGCCTCTCGACACCAGTCCACCCCGGCCGCAGACATCAACCTCAAGCACCGCTAAGACGGCAGACCAAGGAGACCACAGAGAAGCCACATACCACGATCAAACAACGCTACCGAGTGTTACAGCCGATCCTCTTACAGACGCGACCGTTCCGCCAGTGCCAAAGATCCCGTCAACGCTGAACCTTCCTGGGACATGGCCAAGAGATGCTTCACCAGCGCGATCTGCAGAGGCTTCCACAGAAGCACCTGCTCCAGGCGTACCAGGAAGTCCTGAATCCCGAAAAGTCACGAGCAAAACGTATTCACCGTCTCCAGCGCTAGAAAAACAAGGCTTGAGGAAGACATCCCGGCCGACAAGCCGCAAGGGCGCAACGCCACTATCTTCATCTCCGAATGAAAAGTTCGATCTGGGCTCACTGTTGGCGGCCATCCCCATTCCCATTGCGGAAGCAGCAGCAGGGGACACGCAGAAGGAAAACCGGACCGGCCGCCTCATACGGCCTCCTTATTGATGGAATTGTAGTAATGAGGAAACCCATGCATTGTACATTACTGGGCATTGGCTTTCTTTACTAGCCATAAGTTTTGCGAAATGAGCGTTCATTGTTGTTTCTATTGTGTTTGGGTTGTTTCATTTAAGTTAGACTCGCTAAGAGGTTCTGCGAGCTACTGTCTCTATGGTCAAATTCAATCGAGTTGATGGATTTGAACAGTTCTTCACTCATCTAGCGGGACGAGTATGTATACTAGAGTGACTCGAGATGACAAGATCATAGGAATTCAATGACGATATACATGTCATTTGAACAAACACCTGGGCTCATTTCTCCTTGATCCGCTGTCTCCATGCCGTCCTGATTTCGAGAGTCCGAATCGAGCTCAAAGATTATGCCAAAAGCCTCACTCAATCGATGAGAACTGAGGACCAATCTGTCTTTTCTGCGCCGGTTGGTCCAGATGTCACACGATGGTAAATATGCCGCCTTCAATCACTGTGGAGCCAATCCGGGCTTCCATGCTCCTCGATGTGGAGGGAGTTGGTGGGCATCCAAAGGACCTGAAGCCGCAAGGACTACCGCCCGGAAATTCGACGTTGAATATTCAGATTGAAGGCCTCGACAGGTCATTTGCTGCTCTGTGGCGGGGCGGGAGTGTCATTGGGATTGGGTCGATTGGCGAAGAGGAGGAGAATTCACTGAGAAGAAAGGTGAGTGCTCAGCTGTCGGCTCATCAATGTCAATGCGCATGGGTCGATACTCTGCGACCGCTTCTTAGAAGCTCAGATGGAGAACAACTGACCGCTTTATGAGAAATTAGAGATCATTGATCTTACAAACTCTTGCCGCAGCACTCCTCAGCTCCCAGGTGCGAGCCAACGCGAGTTCGCCCGCATTGCCGAATGTATACCTAGTGACTCCGCACACTTCTCAAACCATTCCAATGCTTCATGTCCTTCTGGCAACCACCATCTCTGATTCCCAAGCCGCGATCGAGCTTCTCAGAACTGTGCGAGTCTTGCAGTATTTTGATCTCGCGGGACTGGCAGAGAGCTTGGCGGAGATCAGTCAAGATCTGTTCCGAAGGACTCATGCAACCGATGAGCCCGTCGCTGCAGAGGTTGGCAGACACGCTCTACCCAAAGATATCGTCGTGATCCAAGGTCTAGGCGAGACGGTGTCAGCCACGCATCGTCGGAGTGGCCTCGTTCAAAGCAATGCGTTGCTAGGGAATTTGATGAGGAATATTACGCAGATATCACGGATATCTAAAGATGTTCTTGTCCTTGTAGAGGTTGCGCTTGAGACTGGGGCGCCCTCCAACCCGCAGTCGTATCAAGAGGCGGCAAGGGCCAGGAGGGCTCATGCAACTATCCAACTAGAGTCGGTCTTTGCTGGGCCTAACGGTGAGACTCTGAGGCTCTACTCCGGGCATGAGACATTGGCAAGGACGCTAGAGGCAGACCTCAATTGCATCGTTGTAGCACATGACGGCTTCGGACGAGTCAAAGAGAAGGGGAGACCTAACGAGTCCAGCGAGCAGGTAGTTGAGGTGGTCAAGGATCGAGTTGGGGACTTGATGGGTCTTTGGGGCATTTGGAAAGGAGGATGATTGCCTTTGGAAGCTTGAAGCATTTGGGAAGTAAGAGGTTGCGCCTTCCAGCCTTTCGAGAGACGCTCCCTGTTCACTCATTGCCACTGGCACCATCGACGAGTCCCTTTCAACCAACTCTTCCCCCAGCACCGGGTTCGCCGGGTTACGATACACAAATATCTTAACAATGGACATCGGTAACAGTTATTTCAGTGTCGTCGCGAACTCCGGAGTGCCGGTCATGCACGCTGCTGTCTTACCTCCTTCAGGCAAAGTCATCTTTCTGGACAAAGTCGAAGACTACTCAGAACTGTGGTTGCCGAACCATCATTGGGCATACTCCGCGCTCTTCGACCCCAACACGCACCAGCTTACTCCGCTGTCTGTCGCGACAAACCCCTTTTGCTGTGGCGGCACCTTTCTGGCAGATGGCCGGCTTGTCACCGTTGGCGGGAACGCTCCCTTGCTCTGGCTCGATCCGACAGTTGGGGATGGCTTTGACGCGATTCGGTACATTGGAGATGAAGATGGCGACTATCAGTGGAAAGAGAATGGGAATAAACTGGCCTCCAACAGATGGTATGCATCAGCACAGACCATGGCAGACGGCAAGATCTTTGTAGCAGCAGGGAGTTTGAACGGACAAACTGCATCTGATTTCCGCAACAATAACCCCACCTACGAGATTCTCGATGCGAATGGTGTCAGCGAAGGCCAAAACATACCGATGGATATCTTGAACAACACAATGCCGTACTAGATGTACCCGTTTCTGCACCTTATGCCCGATGGCTCGCTCTTCATCTTTTCGGATACTTCCTCAGAGCTCTTTGACGTGGCTGCCAATCAAACCATCAGGAAGATGCCCGTCATGCCTGGAATGCACAGAACCTATCCCAATACAGGGGGTAGCGTCATGTTACCACTGCACGCAAGGAACCACTATGAGCCTGAAATCATGATATGTGGTGGGGGACAGACACAAGCAATTGACAGTCGGTGCGAATCAAGCTGCGGAAGGTTGAGACCGATGAGCCAGGATCCTCAGTGGCAGATGACTGCGATGCCAGAGCCTCGAGGAATGGTAGAAGGAGTCTTACTTCTCGATGGTACCGTGCTCTGGATCAACGGCTGTCAGACAGGTGCGCAAGGGTTTGGATTGGCCACCAACCCTGCCTTGGAAGCCCTCATTTACGATCCGAGATCGCATAGCTGGACTGTGTCTGGAAGAACCACAATCGCCAGGCTTTATCACTCTGTTGCTTTCCTACTCCTGGATGGAACAGTCCTCATTGCCGGAAGCAATCCAAATGAAATGCCAGTGACGCTGCAACATGTCGAAATCCATAACCAATACAAAGCCTTTCCCACCGAATTCAGGATCGAGATTTGGACCCCGCCATACCTTCGGGGTGACAAGGCATCTCAAAGACCCAAGGATATCGCCTTGTCGACATATACCCTTGCGAATGGGACCAGATTTAGCATTGAATTCAGCACGGAGAAGCAGGTCGATACGCTGGAAATGATCCTGTACAGTGGAGGCTTCATCACGCACTCAGTTCACATGGGCCAGGTAATGCTGTACCTCGAGAACAATGGCTGCAACACCTTGAGCAACGGTCGTAGGAGGGTTGAGGCATGGATGCCGGACGGGATCAAACTGGCTCCTGGACCGTATGTGGTATATGTGATTGCCAATGGCATTCCTGGAGTCGGGCAGTTTGTCACCTTGCGCGTTTGACGTAAAAACACTCGTTTATTCTTGGTCTATTGTTTGACTGAGCAGCATTCGTGGAGGGCATCACGGACAACAACGTGGGTATTCCATTAGCACATTCAAAGATCGAAGGCAACGATCCAACATGAGTCCACGATCGTCATTTTAACACTTGACATTAATTTTTACTCACTGCTCGCTGGTTCTCATAATACTTCACCGTACAAGCAGTACGGTGGAGTATGCGGCAAAAGACGCAGACAGGAGCCCATCGAGCCCATACCTCAAAATCAACCATACCAAACTTTCATAACGCTCGCACATCCTTTGCCCGCGAGATTTCTGTATGGCAGAAGATCCGCCTAAATTGTCGTCGCCACACTCGGCCCAGGCAACTATCCCTGCCGTCGATGGAAGCACGGATCAGCCCTCCAACACCGCAGCAGGACTACCACCAGACCCGCCCTCGCAACCTGCACAAGATGGCGGAGGTGACACGATAATGACTTCGCCCACTGCGCCCAGAACAGCTGCTCCTGCAACGGCGTCTGCTCTTCCAATCACTACAAGCGGGCCAGTACCCCTCGACTCACCCTTACGCACCACGCCAATCCATCCCTCGCTACCGTCAGTGAAGGTCCCCGAGGCTGCCCTGACAAGCGCCGCGCCGAACACGAATCCCATAACGCTGCAGCCGTTCACGGAAGCCGAGCTGACAAAGTACGGGTTCGAAAAGCTACGGACGCAGATATTGGGTGCTGCTGCCATGGCAGCGGCCATGGACAAGACCATCCCCCGTCCGACTGCTGCGAATGGAGGAGGAATGGATGAGAAGGAAAGGGAGGAGATATCGCGCGTCCGCGACGAAACGGCGGCGCTGTTAAAGCAGAAACTCGACGAAAGGGAGGCCAGGGTCCGCGAGATCGAGCGCGAAATGGAAGAGAAGGAGAAGATTCGCGAGGTGGAGAGGAAGGTGTTTAGGAAGAAACTGGCGGGTGCAGGGAGGGGGGTGTGAGAAGATTTGCTGTCGGTCCACCTTTCTCCCCCTCAGGGACGTGGACGAGCTGGGCATCAGCGCTTTCGATCTGCTGCTTGTGGCGCAGGGAATTCTTTGAAGTGGCTCTGGACAAGGTGTGCTAGGCAGATCAAAAACGATTCGAGTAAGTGGTTGAGCGTGCGATTCTATGGATCAGGCTCTATTACGATTAAGTCTATGGGTTCGACAAGACCAAAGCCAAAACTGTCTATCCAACTTTTTGATCCAAACGCCAAACGCCAAACGCCATTGTTGGAGCAGACGTCTTCTTTGCTCGAAACCCTCGCGTCACAACAACAGATATCAGAAACGGCGGCCAACAGAAAGCAACCAAGAAAGCAAAAGTCCAAAAAGCACTTTTATAGGCCAGTCCCTCTCCGACTCCACTGGCTCAGTGCTCAACCACTCCCTCCCCTTCCACAACCTCACTCCCTCCCCAACTCCACTTGCACCCTCCCCGACGACTTCTCCCCTTCCTCCACGGCTCCCCTCTCAACCGCACAGCGTCAACGTCAGGTCGACGGCCTCCCCGCAGTCATGCTGCTGGCCCCAGTCGTTGTGCACGTTGTACGAGGCCGTGCAGAACTCCTCCCCGGGCGCACAGTGCAGGGGCACACAGTTGCCCCCAACGACGTTCGGGGTCAAGGTCATGCCTTCTTCCTTGAAGGCATGCTTGATGGCGACCTCGCCGACGTAAGCGCCCAGTCCGTCCTTATCGCCGACAATGGCTTCGCCCTGGTGGGCGTCTTCGTTGAGCCATGCGGCCTTCCCGGCGTTGATCATGCTCAGATCGTACCAGGTGCGCTGGAAGGAGTTGTGCCAGGTCCACTCGAACTGGACCGGCGCCGTGTTGTCGACGTCGGTCCGCCACAGTTTCCAGCTGACCCCCATTTGGGGGTCGTGGGCGAAGGGGTGCGACAGCACCTGCTGGGGCTGGAGGATCGAGTAAATCTCCTCCGGCGGGCCTTCAACCCCAGGACGGGGTCCGTGCACGATGTTGCTGTGCACGGCGAAGGGGCAGTTGTTGTACACGACGGACTGGCCCAGATAGTCGTCGCTGCGATCCACGATCCCAGCCGGGGCGCCCGCAACATCGACTCCCCCCTCAGGCTCTGGCTCTGTGGACGCTGGTGTGGTAGGCTCGGGGTGCTCCTCAGGCGCATCGCCTTCTGCTTCCCGCTGCTTGTTGACAGGAGCGGCAGGGGCGGCAGGGACAGCGGGGGCAAGAGGAGGGTGCTCCAGGGCACCGTGGTATGCGAACGGAGGTTCTCCCTCCGGCAACGGTTTGACACCCTCATCGTTGATTTGGGTGGGCAGGGCAGAGACGAGGAGGCTCATCGCGGCAGCGACGAGGGCGACCGAGGCGAAACGCATCTTGGAGACTGTGGTGTAGAAAAACCCTCAAATGAGGTGGACTATTCCAGAGGTTTGAGTCAGTCTCTTCCTGTCACTCGCCATATACTTCTTGAGATTGTGTCTTTCAAAACTTACAGAGGTCCAAACAGCTCACAACAGTGCCTGATATAGCAATGACGAGTCCGACCCAAGGCAACACGTTCCACACTGGCATAAAAATGTACTCGTGGAACATGGATGATCTCTCTTGGTGTCAAGAGGGAGAGGACGTGGGGATGGTGGTGGTGGGGACGAGGCTGAAGCGTTCCTTGATAGGAACGGGGGAAGGAAGACTGGATAGTGGTGGTGGTGGTGGTGGTAGTCAAGTTGAAGATCAAGATGGAGTTCAAGATGAAGAGGGCGGACTGCAGAGGACTAAAGATCATCGAGCTACTGTTGCTGATGATGGAAGATGAATTGCGCAAATACAGCAGGCGTGCGACCCCTTCTTATACCTTATCGTCCACCCCCTTCTGCATTCTGGTGACCGCCGAACGGAGCCGTTGTTCTCTAGAGTTTTCTGATCGACGCTGGCCTCCACGGTCCAGACCTACTCAGATACTCTTGTCCAAATTGCGTGATCAGGCCGTTCCTACGGCTCATCTTGGGTACCGCGCGAGATTTGCGCGGTCTGATGGCAAAGATTGGCAAAGACAAGGGCTTGGGATGGGATCGAGGGCCAATAATATCACGATAGAGCCCATGGGAATTGTGCAGTCAAGTTTTTCTTGGGGCTAGTAGATCAATCAATATTATGTCGCAGATGTTCCAAAGAAACCACGAAATTGTAAATATGAAAAGAAGAAAGAAAAAAAGACCGAAACAGACGAAGATCTCACGCCTTATTCTTCGCCCAAGATGTGTGGTGCATGGTGCATGTGTGCGATGCAAGGCTGAGCCTCGCAAAATCACAAATTGTCTCAAAGTTTCAAAAGTCTGAATGCACTCTCTCTCGATCTTCTGGCTTGGGGCTCCGAATCTGGCCGAAACACAAGGCTTTTGCTCTTGGTTGTCGGGTCGAAATAAGAGTTCCAAGGCTGATGGTGGTGGTGGCATCAATCAGTGAACCATGCGCCGACTTGCAAGGCTGAGCCTGGCAGATCTCAAAGCTTGACGAGTCTCGATGCACGACATTCCTCTGGCTCTCGCGGGCTCGCGCTCCGACTAAGGCCGAAACCCGAACTTTTTTTGCGCTGATGCCAAGGTCGAGATAAGGCTTTTGTTGGTTGTGGTGGTGGTGGTAGTTGAGTGCGCGAATTTAAGGCGAGTTGAGTTGAGTTGAGTTGATGGGCGGGAAACAAGGCATTCGATCCAGCAGGAGGGCAAGGATGTGGAGAAAAAGGCGAGCACTAGGTTATAACCACCACCACCACCATCACATCTACCATCTGCAGATCCAACTATAAATCGTATTGAAATTTATCATCAACATATATTCTATTTGGGTAATGGTGGTGAAGTGAGTGGAGTCTGATGCGTAAAAACAAGCCCATCGACCCAGCGCGAGGCTGTGGAGAAATAGGAGATAGAGGGAGACATAACCCGCAATCTTTCACCACAAACTTCACCACCTACCTACCCATGTCCACCTGCAAGGATACGTGGGATATAGTATGCAAAGTTGTCATTTTTATAGTAACTCCTTTTCCAAACACGTTAGCACTCTCCAGGTATTTTACCGGACCGTATACGCTCGATACACATGCTTGTTTGTCACGAAAGCCAAAGTTCTCTCCTCGGCCGGCATCGCTGCGTTGGTTAAGGGAGGACATCTTTCCCGGATAGCGCGCGACCCTCTCCCAAGATCAACGTTGCATGTGCTGTACTTTGGCCACGAGTAGCAAGCTCCAAAAAGCCTGAGAATCTGCTTCTGCCCATCTTCCTGTCGGTCTAGACCACGGCGCCGAGAAATACCATGAGAGGAGGAAATCTACCTCACATACACTACCTACCTAGGAATGGACCATCTGCACACACATGTAAAACAAGATCCGATGCTCCCAGAGCCGGAACCTCGCACTACACAAGAGCAGAGACATTATCGCTTTGTTCTGCCCCCTTTTTTTGGTTTTTCGAAAAATAGTAACCATCATCCACCACCATCGTCATCCTTAAACCAGTTCGACCCATGACATACCAGTCTGAAAGCCTTGCCTTTGCCTGGTCTGACGATCTGCTGCGTCCTCGCCCTCGCGACCCAGCTCGCCAGCGATTCAAAACCCCGGAGGTCCGATGGTGCAGTGCGCTTTTGCTCATCTCATCTGTAGATCCCCGATAGTGTGGCTTTGTTCCTCCCTCCCGGAAGCGAGCGGAGTGGATGGTCTAGAACGCGAGAAGGTCCAGGTTTTCGAAAGACGCTCTTTTGCTTTTGGCATGTGCATCTCAAATACCTAAGTAGTACTGCCTACCTCGTACATGGCGAGTGGAAAGATGTACGGTGAAATACCTAAGTACTTGTGCAGGTCGGGTAGTTGTCCCCCGAACACTACAGTATGATATATGTGTATACTTCGCAGTAGGAAGAATAACTGCGTGCCCTGAACATACACTGGTTTGCCATCAACGCGAAGGAGAAAACATTATGGGATTGTTCAAGGTCATCATTGCCGACGTTGAGTTTGTACAACTAAATGAAAATACAGGCCTCTGCGGCGTCTGAGATAGATGGGACACAATTAGCAATACCCATCCACTCCAAAACCCTCGTCCCAACAGTCTCTCCATATTGTCCAAGACTAAAGGCAAACGACAGCACCAAATTCACAACTTTTCCCTGATCAACCATTATAAGCCCTCGACTTAGGCAACCACGGTTCGGTTATGTAGATCGCCCTTCTTCTCATCCTGCTCGATCGCAGAGCTGGAGCTCTCCACTTCTGCCTCTTGGATCTCTGCCTCGATAAGTGGACCGTGATAGAATGTCTTGCCGCGGAGGTACCAGTAGACCGTGGCACAAAGCAGAATGAAGGCCAAGAACACCACAGCGTAGTTCATGTTGTCGGCAGTGACCGGTCGGATGGTGGGCATAAGGAAGATGATGGAGACAAACAGCGTCCATAGACAGGCCCACAGGTTCACAAAGAAGGAGAACTTCCCCAGATGCCACGGCCCGGGCGTGAACTTGCCGAAGATGAGCTTGCAGGCAATGGGAATGACGTACGACCAGTCGAGCGCGATGGCGCACACGTTAAATACGCCTGCAATCGCAATGTACGACCCCAAGGCGATCAAGTTGATGGCAATGCACCAGAAGATGCTGATCCACACCGCGTAAAGTGGTGTCCCAGTCCAACGGTTGATCTTGGTCCAAACGTGGGAGAAGGGGATCAGTCGATCGCGGGAGAAAGCAAACACGGTCCGTGCCAATGCCTGCGTTGCCGTCCAGCAGACAAATTGGAGAACGATAAAGGCCGAAACCGTGAAGAAAATGCCGGCGCCCTTGCCCAAGGAATTGTAGAAGATTTGAGCCACAGGTTGGTAGATTGGAGAAGCGAGGATTGCGGCAGGATCTCCCATGCAGAAGCAGAGGACAATGTTGAAAAGCCATCCGAGCACGTAGGTACAGATCATCGCGAGTGAGATGGCCCACGGAGCTTTGATCTCGGGCTCGGAAATTCTAGAGAGGTTAGCGGTTTTCCAACAGCCACCAGGGCGTGGATTACTTACTCCTCGGTGATGTGGGCCGTAGCATCATAATCCGTCATTGTCCACGACACTGACAAGAAACCGAACAAGAAGGACCATCCGATGGGAGTCCAGCCGGCGCTTCCCTCCACGTGAGTAAAAACGTAGCTTGCATCGTGCTTGTTGTCGGTCACAGCCAGGAGGGCAATCGCACAAGCAAACAGGACTCCAAAGTGGAATATGACATAGGTCTTGGTCATTTTCTCCATCCAGTAGGTCGAAAGAGAGTTGATCAGCCCACAGAGCACGGTCAGCGCCGCCATGACTCCGACCGTCTGGTTCGTGGTGGGAAACCATTGAAAGTCGCGACCGATGGAAACTGCAGCTAGAAGAAGTTGGGCAGCGCCGTACTCAGACGAGGCAATGCCGGCGACCTGTCCCAGGAGATTGATCCATCCGACAATCCAACTTATCGAGGGAACCCATTGCTTCGGGGCCAGTCGAGAAACGGTGTAGTACAAGCCGCCACAGGTCGGGTAGGCAGAGACCAGTTCGGCCACGGAAAAGGCAATGCACAAGCATCCAGCACCGGAGATCAGCCAGCACCATACGACGGAGGCAGAGCCACCAGCCTCGAGCGGGTAGATGAAGGTGGTAGCAGTGGTCGAATAGAGGCCGGAAATACTGACGGCGAAAGAAAAGGTGGAGAGGTAGCCAAACTCGCGCTTGAAGACCTGTTGGGTCGTTAGAACAGCCTCGTTCTTTGTTACTCAATGGCGGCAGTCCGCATTTCCACATACCGGCTTGTATCCGAACTGCTCGGCGAGCGCTCTGTCGGCCGCGTTCAGCTCGTCCAATTGGACTGTCCTGCGCCGACCTTGAGCGTCTTGAATCTCGACTGTGCCAACGCTATGTCTGCGCAGGTCGGCCGCATCAATGGGCCCGAGGTTGAGTTCTTTGTTGGCCATTTTTGCCAGGTGATATTTCTGACTTCTCTTGTTTGTTCAGTCCTTGGCTCGAAAGTGGGAGTCGTTGTATTTGTAGACCCAGATTGTTGTGGTATGTTTGCAACGATTGATTTCAGCTCAGCGCCACTTGCGGTAGCGAACAACCCGTTTGACACAGGTGCAATAATAGGTCACTCTTTCATCCACGGCGGGAATCAGGTGGTGCATGTGCCGCTTGTTGGTGATGCGGTTGGGAGAAGTGACAGCCCAAGCAGTACGTACAACTACGAGCTAGGATGGACAGCCGAAAGAGTCGGCGCACTGATTGTCGATCGGTTTATGAGGTCAAGGCGGAGAGAATAAGAGACAGAGTTCGGACAGGCCTGGGGAAGAAGAAGGACGAGCGAAGGACCCTAGCTTTCTTCCATGCCACCGAGCGCTGGTGAGGCTTGATCTGTTCATCGTAGCGTCGGTGCCAGGACAGGGACCCGTAGCGATGGCGGTGGAGGTCTGATGAGGTAGCCAGGGAATCCCCAATGATGAGGTAGCCATGATGCCAACTGGACCCGCTGGAGGGACGGAGAAGGAAGAATCTTCGATGGCGGCAGAGGTTCGATTGGGCAGAATCAACAGAACGAAGTTTGTCAAATACGATGGCGTGGGATGTGAGTGGCCGAAACGGGAGAGGGAAGCGATCGGACAGCCCGCCCACAAGAAGAGTGCCATTCTATCCAGTACGTACAATTCGCAGTCAATTAGGGCCTCACACTACCCTGGAGCTGCATGAGGCCACAGCCTTGACCGGGGGGGTTACAGGTGGAGAAGGGCTTCTTCTTGCTTATCTGCTGGGTCTTTTGCCTGTCTTTGACTGCTGGAGCGAACGTGGCAATCGGCAAGACCCATTAGGCGGGCTACTTCGGCTGAGGCTTGAGTTAGCCTGGCCCAGCGGTGCCTCTAAAATCCTTCGATCAAACCGGGCCTGGAGAAATGTCTGGAGATGTCTTCCAGGCACCAGGCCGTCAGATGATTTGGTAGAGACACCTAAGAACAATAGAGCACGCCCTAGAGGCTACATAGAGTCCGGCCTAGGGGACCCGTACAACCCACCTAAGAACCTGACAACCCACCCAAAAACAAACTTCGGTCACCCCTCAAAAATCTCCAGCCATCGTCGCTTCAAGTTGCAAAACGTCCCCACTCCTGACGTTGTGACCCCTCTGAGGCAAGATTACTTGGGGGCATGAAGAAAAAAAGAGACAGGGAAGAGAAAAGCAAAGAGAATTAGAGTGTAAAATGGCTCAATAAAAAGAATGGATCATCATGTCAATCTCTGCAGACCCTCATCTGCATAACCATTTGCGATAAGAACTCCATCTCCTCAAGTGCTGTGGCTATTCCGTGGCCACCGGTGGCTACACTACTATCTACTGATAAGCATCTAGCAGCCCATGGAGGCTGGGATCATGGTCATCAACTGGATTCTGACAAGCCCAGATGAGGATCTGATAAATCGCATTTCTCTGCCTGAAAGAGTAGCAAGTCCTTGATACGGAGTACATTAACCCTAAAGAGCTATCCTTTGCCGAGTGGTCTCCTTGTGCTCTTCGCGACAATTGTCCTCTGACACCGCTGGTGCTCCCACATACCTAGGCACCTAGGTAATACAAGCCGTGCCGGTCCGTTCGATGCGGGCTGACTCCAATAGTAATACGAGGCGCCGCCCTCCTCCATTCCCCTCCCGTGGAGGCGAGTCGTTCGCCTTCGAGTGCCTAGTTTGTGTTAGTTGACTGGCATGCAAAGCCTTGTCTCAAGACAGCTAAAGAGTACGACGTAACGACCATCCGGACTGGAGCAGCCAGGGGAACGGATGGGCACGAGGTCGATGCAAAGTCACCAAAGCAATCAGATCGTGGACATGTATCGTTTGAGAATTCATTCAGCTACTTTTTGTGTCTCTCTGCATTTGTGTCGGGGAGTTTATTGCTGAAGACCCAAGCTAGGTCCTCGCACAACTAGCTTCTCGACAACACATCTTGTTCGAGAAAGCGTCGAGTGGAAAGGTTGTGCTGACGAGGCTCAACCACTCACTCGTTGCCTTCGATGTGCACTGCATCCCGCGCGCAGAGACGATTTCAACAGTCCCATGTGAACTGTCGTGGTTTGTTCCTTTTTTTCTGAATACTGACACGGTGTGGAAGCACCCCATGTTGGGCAATGGGCAGGCAAAGGCGAAGGCGCTCACAACTGCGGAGAGTGAGGCTGTTCACCATGAATGCTGCTTACCACGCTGCTCCTCCAGCACCAGTTTCAGCATTGTTGGAGTCGGTCCAGTTGTCGTTGGCAGCATTGGTACTGGTACCTGCACCCCATGCATCGCCGCCAGCACTAGCAACGTCGCCACCATTTCCCCACGTACCACCTCCGCTATCACCTCCTGCACCACCAGCATTATCCTCATAATCCGCCTCCTCCTCTTCATCGAAGTTCAAATCTCCCTCCGGCTTGAAGTGGGTTAGGAAGTGGGGAACTTCCTGGTTTGTTTCGAGTAGAATCTTAGTGAGGAATGGGCCCAAAGCCTCGTCGTCTTCGTTGTAGAAGGAAGTGGCAAGGCCTTCGTTCCCAATACGCGCGGTGCGCCCTATTTACAGTTAGCTGCCTAGTATGGGGAAAGAAACCTTGATCAAGCCGACGTACCAATGCGATGAACATACTCGTTCTTTCCATCATGGTCAGCAGAAGGTAGATCGAAGTTGATGACGTGCATGACATTGCTAAAGAGCATTAGTGATATCGAACGTTTTCTATGCACGATCTCAAGCTTACCGAACGTCGAGACCACGAGCAGTCACACCAGTCGCGACTAGAATAGGGGTCTGACCGGCTTTGAACGAACGTAATGCATCCTCTCGTTCACTCTGAGTTCGATCAGAGTGGATAGAGGTGGATGGGAGACCCAAATTGAAGAGATAGTCGTCGACAAAGTCCGCAGTCTTCTTGAACTTGACGAAGATCAAGGTGCGTGAGGGCGGCATGGAGATCAGCAAGTCATACAACGCTTTCATTTTCTTGTCTTTGTCACACCACATGATCTGAAGGAGGTTAGTGTTAGGGCAATGCGAGTTGGATGCAAACACATACATGCTGCTTGACGTTGACATGGACGCTGCCAGTTCTGCCAACACTGACATGGACATAGTCAGATGCAAGATATTTGGCTGCGAGCTTGCGCACACGCTTGGGGAAAGTCGCGCTGAAGAGGAGATAACGATGATCACCATCGGTATTGGCATCTAAGCAAGGTCAGTCAGTATACGAAACAGTAAGCAGATGACTACACTTACCTCCACCGCCCATGATCTTTGACATCTCTTCACCCCAATCCTCATGAAGCATCTCATCAGCTTCATCAATGATGGTGAAACGCACACGAGCCAAAGACAGAAGCTCAGGACGGCCCATGAAATCCAGGAGACGACCGGGAGAAGCGACAAGCAGATCACAGCCGCGCTGAAGCTGTGCGGCCTGATCTCGAATTGGGGCACCACCGTACGCGACGCAAGGACGAAGCATCGAGCGATAGCACAGGCGACGCGCTTCGTCGAAGATCTGGCAACATAACTCGCGAGTTGGAGCGACAATGAGAATTAGTGGTTCAGCTCGAACCCGATCGCGTGCGGGATCGAAGCCCAAGCCGATGTTCGGACGAGGCGCTGCCAACTTCTTGACCTTGCCCATGAGCTTGGAGATGGTTGGGATGAGAAATGCTGCAGTTTTGCCAGACCCTATAACGGTGTCAATCACTATCCAGACGATTCCAGGGAGGATGCTTACCAGTCTGAGCAATGCCAATCATATCATGGCCCGTCAACACCGCTGGAATCGTGTACGCCTGAATCGGGGTTGTATGGCGGTATCCACAGAGCTCAATGTTCTCCAGAATGACTGGGTGCAAGCCAGCATCCTTGAACTGGATAAAGATAAGCTTCGAAGAATCAAGCAAAAAGAACAAGCACAGAAAGCACTCACGCTGGAAACCGGATTGACGCGGGTCTCGGACTCGACCGTCACTTTGACCGTGGTGAGGCTAGGAGCAATCAGCTGGAGTTTCTCATGAGGCAAGAGCTTTAGAGCTTTACTTGTCGAATTTGATGCCTGCACGGTTTATGTGCTCTCCGCGAAAGAGATCTTTTTCGAGTCGTTCATCGCGAGGACCAACGTCCCCGTACTCCTCCTTCCATTCATATTTTGCAGCGTCATGAGACCAATTACTGGTCGCATGTCCACTGATGACGACCTCATCAGCGCCAGCTTCGTCCTCAGCTGCGGCTTCTGACTGAAGGTGGTTGCTGTCGAGGACAGTGGTAGGAGCACGTGCAGTGTAATTGTTGGCTTTTGGCTCAACCCAGCCCGACTCACGAGCAAGCTTGATTGCTTCCTCATTCTTGGGAGGACCGGCGGTGGGATCAACACCGTTGTTGGGCGTGATGTCAGCAAGAGCTGCCGCCACATCAGCAGTGTCGAAAGACGAAGCCATGTTTACTGAAGGAAGTAAACACGACTGGAAGACTTGAAGGGAACAAAAGGCAAGTTGAGGTGAGGAAGATGGAGGAGAGAGAAAGAAGTTTGGAAAATTTGGGAGGAGGAGGAGATATTTAAAGGAAGAGCTGCCACACCAGGACAACTTGCCAACTTGGCGAGTTCAGGTGGTGATGAACAGGCTCCGCGCGCGTCACTCGGGGCCTAACGATCGAGACGGATAATTGGCCGCTTGAGAAGTGAGAAACGAGGTCATCGGTGACGGGGGACGAGTGACGGTTGACGATGGACGATGATGTCGTCGATGATGTCGCCAGCAAGCAGTCAGTCCCTTGTGTGCAGGCAGGGAGGGGAGGAGAGAAAGAAGCCGCAGTCAAGGCCTGGTCTTTATGCGAACTATCTGTCTTAATTCTGTGCAGTGTCCAGATGAACGGTGTCCAGGTGGATTGATTGTGTTTCAATATCATAGCATTCTTCGCAACATGGAACGTTTAAGTCTCTCTGCCCTGGAGATGTCTACCAGAATCCACTCGACCAGTGTCCTCTCAGTCGCCATGTGTGAGAATCCACTTCTGCTCGCCTTGGACAACTGTGAGCAGCTATGTTTGCCTAAGTATCTGTTGGAATCCAGTGTCCTGCAAAACCTCTCGCTCAGGATCTTTGATAGGCAACAAAGCACATCCTCCTCTGCAGGCGATCAAGCGGAACCACCCCATTTTGACCTACCTATCCGGCCTCTTTGTATACCCAAACCAGCAAAAGCTCCATGAAAACCTGCGGAAGATCGAGCAATCATGAGAGAAAGAGGTTGGGATCAGCAGCTCAATGGGTAATCCAGCTAAAGAGGAGGCATAATGGAGAGACTGAAGCACTGTCTCTTACGCAATGGTGAACCCTTTATCACGGAGGGATTATGATTCAGCTCAGCTGGACTGCCTTATACCTGTTCAACGTTGATATATTGAGAACATTACAAAACAAATTCTGGCTAGGGTGACCAAGGAGAGCCAATTTCGAACACTCCCAACTCATCTACACCCTATGCATATGGCCCTGTCCGCGTGGTTGTATACCAGAACAGCGACCGAAGTTGGGAGCTGCGACTAAAGGCTTGAAGCTGCCGAAGGACTTTGCAGGGTGCGGGTTTGGTCTTTCCCTGAGCATCAGCAAAAGAGGAGGTTTGCCTAATGCTTACCCTGTAGTTGTCAAAATTGAGACGAGTTGAGCACAATGTGGGACAAGGCGACGACCCCTTCCAAGGCTTTGATACCATTATCATGGACGAAAATGAGACGAGTTGAGCACGCTGTGGGACGAGGCGACGACCCCTGTCAAGGCTGCGATAGCACTATCAGCTCCGAAAGCGATGAGAGGGTGGAGTGACTATTGACAAGGACGGTCGCCCAAATTGCAGCACAGGAAAAGAACCGCACAAAGGCAGCAGCGTGCACTTCATATCAAACTTGGGACAATTGTGGGCATATCACTGCATGACAGCAGTGAGATTGTTTTGAGACTTGGATCTCCTCGTGATCATGTATGGTCAAGGAGACGATACCGAGTACAGCTTTTCCAAACCGGGCCTGTAAGGCTGGTTTACCATGCCGATAGTTTCGTGCACACAGGAACGATCATGAGCCTGTTCTGCTCGTGCTCGTCCGATAGAACCAGTGGAATAAAGCAGCAGTCCTATATTCTGCATATCCATGTGCAATTTCCAGGTCTGCTCCCTTTCTCCTCCCGATAAAGAGATCCAACAGCCCCGAACAGATTTCGATTTGTGCGATCAAATATCCACTGATTCTGAGGATTTGGTAAGAGCAAATGGACAGTGGGAACCTGGTCACCTGGTGAGATAGTAGAAGGGAGAGAAGGCCTTGGAGAGAGTGCGAGTAATTCATGCCTGAATAGTCTGGATTTCGTCTCAATTCCACATCTTTCGTCGTAGATAGGACATCAGTTTGGCAGCTATGCTTTCCGTGGTGAAGTTGACCTCCTGTAGCACCATCTACGGAGAACGCTCGAGCAAATGACACCTTCAAGACCAACAAAGGAGAGAGTACGAAGGCTGATCTTCCCAGGTCATAAATACATTTCAACGCTAATTTTGCGGCCGACGGCAAGGAGATCCAGGAGCAAGGAGATGATGAACTGCAGCTCCAGACGGCCTTGCAGTGACTGGAGGAAATTGCAACCCCAGATGCCACGAAAGGCCCGGAAGGCTGCACGAGAAGATGGTCGTGGGAAATTCCTAGCGTCTCCGTTGGAACAAGGGCCCAGACTGGATAGATATGTCCTCTGTGGCCATGTCAGGCAAGGGATGTAGACAGTGTGAGCACAACAACTCGAGTGCACCGCTTCTGTTGGGTGGTATACAGATATCTGGACCACTCTTGAAAGCACTGTTTTCTGTATGGAACCTAGAATTGCTGGAGATGCAATCCGTCCGGGCTCAAAACAAACAGCTTCTCGAGCTGCTTCAGGTTTCTCCTTTCGGCGAGCGCCTTTGATGCCATAGTGATTATATACCTAGGTAGTCTAGGCAAGAGGAGTTGTAACGGTCTTGCCTACCACTGACTCGCATGGCGAGCGAGAAGTGCCACCACGTTGGTCTCTATGCTCCACAGTACTGACTCGTGCAGAGCATTGATGCGCCACACGTAGCGCACTTCCTCAGCTGCCAAAATTCTGTCTTGGCATGAAATTGAGGACGTCCCCCACATTGAATTTCAAGAGGCCTTTTGTGACTGCGCAACTTGCCAACATCAAACTCTCTTTGCTCGTCGAGATCAGATCGCCAACATGACTACCCAGCAAGGCGCTATCAGCAAGCGTCGCAAGTTCGTCGCTGACGGTGTTTTCTACGCCGAGCTGAACGAGTTTTTCCAGCGCGAGCTGGCCGAGGAAGGGTACTCTGGCGTCGAGGTCCGAGTCACCCCTACCGTCACCGATATCAGTACGTCTCTCTGCCTCTATCTGCGCGAAGCCATCCTCCTGCAAGATGTGTGAGAAATGGAGAACTAATCTGGGCATATCTCTGAACAGTCATTCGCGCAACACACACCCAAGAAGTCCTGGGCGAACAAGGCCGACGCATTCGCGAACTCACCTCGCTGATCCAGAAACGCTTCAAGTTCCCCGAGAACAGCGTGTCCCTCTATGCCGCCAAAGTCCAGAACCGTGGTCTCTCGGCCGTTGCACAATGCGAATCTCTACGGTACAAGTTGCTCAACGGCCTGGCCGTGAGACGGGCTTGCTACGGTGTTTTGCGGTTCATTATGGAGAGCGGTGCAAAGGGTTGTGAGGTCGTAGTCAGCGGCAAACTGAGAGCTGCTCGGGCAAAGAGCATGAAGTTCACGGTAAGAAGAAACAAACAACCCCCGAAGATCACACCAAGCCCCAGAGAGTTGCATACTGATCTTTGGGCAATATTGTAACAACAGGACGGCTTCATGATCCACTCCGGTCAACCCGTCAACGACTTTATCGATTCCGCCACCCGACACGTCCTCCTCCGCCAGGGCGTCTTGGGCATCAAAGTCAAGATCATGCGCGGCTCCGACCCCGAAGGAAAAGCCGGTCCCCAGAAATCTCTCCCCGACAGCGTCACCATCATCGAACCCAAGGAAGAACAGCCCGTCGTGCAACCCATGAGTCAAGACTACGGTGCAAAGGCACTGGCTGCTCAGCAGGCGGCACAGGATGCCCGGGCGGCGGCCGATGCGGAAGGACAGGACGGTGCCGGTGCCGGTGCCAATGGTGGCGGGGAGGAGCAATACGGCGCCCAGGAGTAGGAATCCCGAGATAGTGTCGTTGGTGCTTCTTCTACGGTTGCGGCTGTTGGGGCTGTTGGGGCAGCTGGTGGCCACCAGGCTGTGTATGATGGTGTCGGTGAAGGGCCTTTGTTGGCTCCCATCACTGCTGTGGAACCGCCTCTTCAGCCTGTCTATGAATCTGCAGGAGTGGATGTCTGGGCCATGGACGATACTGGAGCTACCGGCAGCTGGTGATTCTGGTGATCTCTGCATCGCACTTAAGCGCATAACCCGGGAAAGAAAAAAGGTTGTGCAAAAGAGCAAATGTGACTCAGGGTGCTTCTTTTAGAAAATGCAAAGGCCACACCCATAGTCCTTGAATGCATGTAAAAGAAAAAGAGTTGAACATGTCACGGGCTTTTCCCCTCAATAGCGTCGGGCCAGACACAGAGTTCTCTAATTCTAAGCTACAAGAACACCTCGACGTTGAACTCCAACGCGCTGACCGGATACCTCAACTCGAACTTCTCCAATACCGTGGGATGCAGAATTCCAAAGCTCCCAATGACGACTTCTTTCCCTGCAATTCTCGCGTGAATGCTGGCTCCGTGGCCGGGGAAGTATGTCGCGTCGTCCAGTTCTCGGATCCAGTATTCCATCTTCTTTCCGTTCCCTGCCCCATCCTCCCCACGCATTTCGAGCCCCTCCTCGTGAGTGATAAAGGCCGTCTTGAGCATGGCCATAAGACGATCCAGGAGGCCGTGGACAACTTCAAAGCCTGAAGTCTTGCCGTACCATGCGGCAGCGAAGTGTCGCTCATTCCGGGCCTTGCGTTCCAGGCTAGCGTCCTTGAAGGCAACGTCACTGACTTCGAAGATCTTGATGGGGATGGAGTGGTGTTTGTTTTCCCGGATAGTCTTCAGCAAGCCGGGCAGCAACGTCGTGCGGACCACCTGGTATTCGGCCGTTTTTGGATTTGCCAGCCGCACGGCAGTATTACCGTCATCCTTGCGATTTAGCCACGCGAAGTTTTCATCGTGCGAACAGAGAATGAGTGGAAGGACCTCTGCCCAGCCCGCCATGGCGGCTTCGAGACGGAGAATGTCAGAGAGTTTGTTAATTGCCAGGGGTGCGGCGACGGTTGCTCCAACTTTGGGAAACGCGCGAGGGAGCTTGTTGAAGCCGTAGGCGATGCAAACATCTTCCATGATATCTGCTTGGTGGAGGACATCTGCGCGTGTAGGGGGAACATCCACGTCGATGAGATTCTGGTCTGTCTTTGACGGCCGTGCCGTATAGGACATACGTGTCAAGAGGTTGCAAATTTCTTGTGCCGAGACCGAAAGCCCGCAGCAGGCGTTGATGTAGTCCACTTCAGCAACTGTGGAGCGAGGTGTAAGATCAGGGACTTGTCTCGATTGACCGTTGTGTTCGGAGATGATCTGGATGGGCTCGACGGTAAATTGGTCTGAGGTGTATTGAGAGAACATAGTAACCATCATGTTGACCACAATCTCTAACTTGGTCTTATCCGTGGCGGTGACTTCCATAAAGACGTTCTTGGTGTTGAGGGTGATTTTACTGTGATCACCGTTGATGATTGGTGGTAAGGAACAGACCGTGCGCTTAGAGTCGTAGATGACTGGGTACACTGGGGAATCCCTGATAATATGCAGGAAGCGACCTAGATGCTTGTCCTTTTCGTAGAACTGCATGAGCTCTTCGCCATCCATTTTCTTGGTTTGGTTCAGTGGCACGAATTTGATGTCCTTTGGGGGAAGGGCCTCGTATGTGAATGGTCCCTGGATCGAATCGAGGTCATGCGTTCCGATTGACACCAGAGTCCGCTGCCGCGCCAGATTTGAGTGCAATTTGTCTTGAAGGTCAATGAAAGACTCATATCTGGCCTGGTCGAACTTGATGTTTCGCAAGATTGCGCCGGAGACGTATGGCCGTATCCTCTCGCAGTCCTTTGAAACTGTGATGGTCTGAATTTCACCTTTTGGTGGCGCTTTGAGGACATATTTGGGTGTCGGCACTCTGCGATTGAAGATGTTCAGCATGAGTTGGATACCTTCAAAGGACAGCATGTCATATCGGTTGGCTGGGATCTCGATCTTTAATTGAGGAGGCTCTTGTTTGCCATTGACAATCGGTCGTTCTGTCAACGAGGTGTCTTCGTCGAGCTCGATCCCGAAATCAAAACAAAGTTCGTCGAATTCCTCCGTCGTGTAGTCCCTCCCGAGTGCCTGGAAGAGGGCAGCCTTGTCCACTGTGATGGTCGGCATGGTGAGGAGCCTGAGAAAGACTTCTCTACAGGCGGTGTAGTCAACCCAAGCTCTCTGGACCACGTTCTCGGGAGAAACAGAGAACAGAGAGACTGGCTGAGGCTTGCAATATCAGGGGCCGGAAAAGGTCTGGTTACCCAGCTCAGTTGGAGTGAAATATCTGAAAAGATTGTACAGGGAAGAGTCATCTCTAAGGGTCTTGGCGAGGACATTGGGATGCCCAGTGCCACTGCCAGTGCCGCACGGATGCTAAACTGCGCCCGCACTTGCGGTGACTGCTCGCTGCGTACCTCATAGGAATCTGCCTGTGCCACAGCTTCTGCCCATCAATCAGATTCAGCCCCTTTCAGCCACAACCTCCCGTGTTCACTTTGAATGACGGAGCTCGTGAAGTGAACCTGATTATCCCACCTTTTCAAAAGCAACAATACCCTTATTTGCCCTCAACCGATCTCTCTACCTTCACATTGACTATTCAGCGAACAGGAGGTCATTTTGACGAACCCAATCAGTTCAGCGACGCCTGCATCTACACTGTTTCTTGGTTTGTTGTGAGTCCAGCCTCTGCCCTCCACGGCGCATACATCCCGTCAAACCACCGCGCAGCCTGCCCATATCAGGCCACGAGGCACAACCCTTAACGTCTTGCAAACCGGTGGGAACTGACTGCCTTTTACTCAGTCAAGTATGCATTAGAATGTGAACTGGCCCTCTCTGCTACCAAACCACCTTTTTCACACTGCTGTGCATCGAACTCTGAGCAGACGCGACTGTTCAATTTTCCTTTCGGAAGCCCCTGCCCCTAGGGCGAGCTCAATATTGGAAATCTTGCTAGACTGTTCAAGATACAGCCAAAATGGAGGGTCAAGATAATGGAGATGAGCTCTATCCCATCGCCGTGTTGATTGACGAACTGAAGGTGTGTCCTAGCCATGGCACTCGCTGTGTTCCGAGATCCAGCTGACATGTAAATAGCACGATGATGTCCTTCTCCGCCTCAACGCCATTCACAGACTTTCTACCATTGCGTTGGCCCTCGGCCCTGAACGAACAAGAGACGAACTGATACCCTTTTTGGACGGTGCGTTCTTTTTACTAGCCAAAAAGGCGGGAATAAAACTGACGCTTTTGCCCAGACTCCGTGGAAGATGAAGATGAAGTCCTTACTGCCCTCGCTGAAGAGCTAGGAAACTTCATCGAGTACGTTGGAGGCCCTGAATATGGTCACGTGCTCCTTGCGCCGCTGGAGAATCTGGCCGCCATCGAGGAGCCGTTGGTGCGGGACAAGGTACGCAAGATTTCCAATGAGTACGGGCGTATGTCATCTAATGCGAGCAGGCCGTTGAATCTCTAAACAAAATCTGCGGTGAGCTGTCAGAACGGCAGGTCGAAGAGTACTTCATCCCCCTCACCGTCCGCTTGTCGAAGGCCGACTGGTTCACCTCCAAGATTTCCGCAACCGGCTTGTACACGACTCCTTACAAAAAAGCTTCCCAATCCTCCCAGCAAGTTCTTCGAACTCAGTTTGGACACCTTGTTCACGATGAGACACCGATGGTGCGACGACAAGCCGCGAATAATCTGGCCAAGTTCGTGAAAGAGGTCCCAGTTTCGGTTGTGATCGATGAGATGATCCCTCTGTTTCAACACCTGGCGAGCGATGATCAAGATAGTGTTCGACTACTCACAGTCGAAGTCCTCATCTCTATCGCAGAAGTCATTCCCAAGGAGCAGCAACCGAGCCACGGCGTGCTCCTGACCGCGCTGAGGAGCTTATTCGAGGACAAGAGCTGGAGGGTACGATATATGGTGGCAGAGAAGTTCGAGAAGATTGCAAAGGCTGTCAATGAAGAGGTTGTCACCCGAGACCTCGTCCCAGCTTTCGTCAAGCTCCTCAAGGATAGCGAGGCCGAAGTCAGAACAGCGGTTGCCAGCCAGATCCCCGGCTTCTGTGGTCTCCTTGACCGAGAAACTCTGCTGAACGAAATCATGACTTCCATCGAAGACCTTGTGTCTGACCCCAACCAGCATGTTCGAGCCGCCCTTGGCACCCAACTCAGCGGACTGGCTCCAATTCTCGGCAAAGAAGAAACGATCTCTCATCTCCTCCCCATGTTTCTCCAAATGCTCAAGGACGAGTTCCCGGACGTGAGACTGCATATCATCTCCAAACTCGAACTCGTCAACAATGTTATCGGAATCGACTTGCTGTCTCAGTCCCTTCTGCCAGCCATTGTTCAGCTTGCAGAAGACAAGCAATGGCGTGTGCGCCTGGCGATCATCGAATACATCCCCTTGCTGGCGAAGCAACTGGGCATGAAATTTTTCGACGACCAATTAAGTGCGCTGTGCATGGGCTGGTTGGGTGACACCGTATTTTCAATTCGCGACGCTGCAACGCAGAACCTGAAGAAGCTCACGGAAGTCTTTGGTGTGGAATGGGCGAATCGATCCATCATTCCGAAAGTCACAGCCATGAGCCAACAGCAGAATTATCTGTATAGGATGACGACATGCTTTGCCATTACGGTGAGCCTCGCTCCGTGAAGTCGCTGCCCGCTCAGACAGATTTGCTAACAGCTCAATGTCAGATCCTCGCACCAGTGATAACCCTCGACATCATAGCCGAAAGCGTCCTTCCCATGATGAGCCGTCTCGTCTCGGACCCAATTCCCAATATCCGTTTCAATGTTGCAAAGTCCTATGCCGTCCTCATCGACACGCTCCGTCGCATTCCCGCCGAAGGGACGCTACAACAAGGCGAACAGCAATCAAATTCCGAAACACAACCGACTCCGAAAGCACAGGAGTTAATTGGGCAGATCATGTCAAATTTGGAGAAACTACAACAAGACGAAGATGTGGATGTGAGGTATTTCGCCACTGTTGCCGCGGGGGGAACGAACAATGTTTATGCCCAGCAGTCAGGGGAGAGGATGGATACCGGACAGTAGTGCGTCCGCCAGCAGAAGGATGTGAGGGAAGTAGAGGTGACGGAGCGGGAGGTTACTGGTGATGGGGATGAGGATGAGCCTGTCCAGCATGTCGAGCATGTCGAGCATGTCGAGCATGTCGGGCGCGGGAAGGAGCGAGAGGACGACAACGGGCATGAGCTTGGCAGGAGGCATTCGCAGTGGACGTTTCCCATCTTTGGAGGGAGGCGGGATGCATGACTGGTGCAATGGGGGGCAACGGGCAGGATGGCGACGTGGCCTGGCACGGCTGTGACACAGGGTGCATTTGTACGAAGACCAGCGAGGCCGATTGACCTGAAAAACATTGGCAGGGGAGAGAAAAGCCCGCAAACGAAGGGGAGGGACAGATGGCACGGGGAAAAGAAGGAACGCACTTGTTCCATTTTGCACCATGCGCGGTGGAAGAATTAGATAGAATTGTCAAAGACCATTGATCAAAAGAGCGCAACCTTAATTCTCCTCCTCATCCCCATCATCGTCTAGAGTGACCGCTACCGTCTGGGGATTTTCAGAGCTTGAGAAGTATGTGCGTGAAGTACAGACACGGCAACACATATACCCAAGCTGCATAAGCCATTCGCCGAAGTTTATCCTCGTCCCCTTTCTGGTGCCATTGGAATCTCACCGTCTCGAAGCAGCTGAGACCAACCAAAAGCTGGGTTCAATCACTATCATAAGCTTCTCTATTGTTCAAGTGTCGGCATTCTAGTCCAGCTGAACAAAGAGATGGTCTGGCCACAGCAGCAACGATAAATACAGAGCTATACTGGGGGAGACAAGAGCTCTAGGTTCCGCTACCTATCAGCCTGCTCGCTATCCAGCTGGACGGTAAAGTGAGCAACATGTCACAGCCAGCACCTGGAATGATTCCTTATGGCACGCGCATCATCCACTCCGAGCCCGTTGACATAGCCCAACCCATCGACCACGATAACATTCGGGGCAAAACGATACTCATCACAGGGGGAGCCTCGGGATTTGGTGCAGCCTGCTTCCGGGAATGGGCCTCTCACGGCGCCAACGTGATCATTGGCGACATCAATGAGAGAGCCGGCACCGAGCTGGTCGCCCAGATGCGCCAGACCACGGGGAACCAGAACCACTACTTCATTTCTCTCGACGTGACGAGCTGGCAGAGTCAAGCCGCCTTCTTCAAACAAGCAGCACGGCTGAGTCCGCACGGCGGGATTGACCATGTCATGGCCAACGCCGGAGTGGCCGATGCACCGGAGCAGCTTCTCTTTGAGGACCCTCCTGACTATGCGACGATGGATAATAGTCCTCCTCCGCCCAAACCAGCTATGCGAACGCTGGACATCAATCTCAATGGGGTTCTTTATACTACGCACCTGGCGATATCATATCTGTCCCGCAATCCTGGGAGCGAAAAATGTCAAGTCAACAAGCACTCGGGGACGCGGGATCGACACCTCATCCTTGTCTCCTCCATCGCTGGGCTGGCGGGCTTACCGGGACAACCCCTCTACGCAGCGGCAAAACACGGTGTAGTCGGACTGTTTCGGACATTGAGACTCACAATCCCACTGAAACGCGGGGTCAGGGTAAATATGATCAATCCATGTGAGCCTCGGACGTAACAATCACAAAGATACATGGATGGCTAACGCATGGGAATAGATTTCGTCGACACGCCGATCCTAGGGCCTGTAGGCGCCTTCGTCCTCGCGGGCGGCGGAATGGCGAAGATTGAATCGGTTGTGGACGCCACGACGCGCCTTGTGGCAGATCAAGGCATCATCGGACGAGCACTCATGATAGCCACCAAGACTTCCGACGAGGACGCGAAGACGATGGGTCTCGAGCGAGCCGTAGAAGATCAGGCCGTTTGGGACTGCTATGCCGATGATTTCAAGCAGACGGACCTGTTCACAAGACGGATCATCGGTGTCACGAATCTGGTAACGCAGGCCCGAGGATGGGTGGGCATGTGGACGGATATTGGAAGTAATCTGTCCAAGAAACTGTCGAAGGCTTTGGGATATTGAGCAGGACGGGGCACCATTCATTACTAGGTAAGGGCTGCAGATTTTGATCTCAGGTACTTACAGTAGGTATTCGAGGTATTGCAGCCTTGCAGGAGGAATTGCGTTTGAAGTGGAATTAAACCCACCGTAGAATTCTTATGTAAGCTGCACCCTGGCGTTTGGCTGCGTGGCTGCGTCAGTTCCAGGTTGCTTCTTTTGAATTTCTCCTTTTCCCGGGCACGCAGGCATTTGGAGACGGCGACAATTCCCACTCAAGTTCGACATCGCCAGAGGGTCCCTCCGTGTGCCATACGCCATCCCCTCCTGTTGTGCAACCCGTATCTCCAGACGGATTGAGCCTGTTTCGAGGTTTCCCCGCAAGGTGTGCGACCCTAGGCAGCTCACTCCACGCAGCAATTGCCCGTCAATGTGCTACACCTGGGCGCCCTCGGCCTGTGCATGAATCTGGAAAACCTGCACCGGCACCCGAGCCATGTGCGAGGCATGATAAGATCGCGGAAGTTACTCGCGCTGATTCTTTTTGTCGGCACTGCTGCTCTCACTCTATACCTCCTCCAAACCCCCGGGCAGATCCAGACCCTCGAGGAGTCGACGGCCTCTCTCTTTCAAGGCCACCATGCGCACGAGGAGAACCAGCCGCTCCTTCCGGCGAGCTCCCTGTTGCACCCGGTCCACCAGCTAGTCACCCAGGGAGAGAGTGACTTTCAGACTGTTCGAGCCCGTCAGTCGCGATCCCTCAGCGATGCCGTGGCCGAGTACCGCAGGCGGTACAAGCTGCCTCCTCCTCCGCACTTCGACAAATGGTACAACTTTGCGAAGAAGCGGGGCGTCGAGCTCATTGACGAGTATGACACGATATATCATCAATTGCTGCCGTTTTGGGCACTGGAGCCCGCGGTCATAAGAGAGAGGACAAGAGAAGCCATTGGATTCGACAATGCCCTGATCGCTGTCATGATCCGCAATGGCAAGGTCACCAAGATTGAAGGAGGCGGGGACATGTACGAGTGGCATAGGGAGGCGACTCCTATCATGTTGAAGGATTTTGTCAAATTCCTGCCCGACATGGATTTGGCATTCAACATTCATGACGAGCCTCGCGTGGTGATGCAGCACGATGACCTCCTGCATCACGTCCAAGTGGCCAAGGACGAGAACATACCCAAGGCCTACAGTGCCCAGAAGCTGAAGAACGATTGGTCGCGCCGCGCCGAAGATCTGGGAGAAGGCATCCGTATCAAAGAATACAAAACCACCCGCTTCAACCGGTTCGCCCATCAACCGACGTGGAGCAATTCCCGCATCTCCTGCTCTCCGGACAGCGCTGCCCGTGTCTGTCTCAACGACGCCTGCCCAGACAATATTACTGCCTACTCCGACTTGCCGCTGGGCTTCATCAAGAACACCACCGCCTTCTCCGACATCTGCAACTCTCCCAGTATGGAGAAATCATTCGGTTTCTTCGACCGCCCCAACGCGTTCGACGTCACACACGACCTGTTCCCCATCTTCTCGCAGTCCAAAATCTCTTCCTTTCAAGACATCCTATACCCCTCGCCTTGGTACTTTATGGGTCGTGTCAAATACGAGCCGGAACGGGATATGCCTTGGGAACAGAAGGCCCCCACGATGTACTGGCGAGGCAGCACGACAGGCGGTTTCTCTCGCGACGGCGGATGGAGAAGACAACACCGTCAGCGGTTTCTCACAAAGATCCAGCCACTCAACACGGCCAAGGTTCTCGAACTAGACACTAACACCTCGGCCGAAGACTCTTTGTGGCGCGAGAAGATCATTTCCGCAGCCGAGGTCGCGCATTATTTTGACGTCAAGTTCACGTACATTGGACAATGTGACCCTGGCGACTGTGACGCCCAACGAGAGTACTTTGGAACCGTGGAGCCTGTGAATATGTTTGACGCGCTTGGGTCTCGCTATCTGCTTGATATAGACGGCAATGCCTTCTCGGGCCGGTATTATGCATGGCTGCTGAGCAAATCTCTGGTATACAAGCTCGCAGTGTTTCGTGAGTGGCATGACGAATGGCTTAGGCCGTGGGTGCATTACGTTCCGCTCGGTCTGATTGGCGATGAGTACGCGGAGAGCGTGAGATATTTTGACCAAGAGGAGGCTGGCAAGGTGGAGGGGAAGAGGATAGCAGAGCAAGGGAGGAGTTGGGCACAAAAGGTGCTACGCAATGAGGATTTGGAGGTGTGGTATTTCCGGCTGTTGTTAGAGTGAGTTTCCCCCAGCGTTTTCTTGGTATCGAACAAGACTGACCCAGTTATGATCCGCAGATACGGCCGCCTGATCGATGATAACCGATATAATATTGGCTTCGGCATCTAACGGGTACCTGAACGGGTTCTAGGATGCCCGGCAGTCCAAGGAGCTGAACAAAAGGAGTTTTGTATAGAAAATGACCTCGAGCGTTTTGGTAAAGATCACTGACCTCGAACAAGAAGAGAAGGAGCAGTGCAGGCCTGACGTTTGAATAAAGATGGGAGAAGGCGGAGAGAAATCCTCCTCAGCGTCTTTTGTATATAAATCCACCTTGCTGTTATTATACGATCCGGTATGATTTGTCTTCGTGCATGTTAACGTGCTACGGTGGTTAGGCCGCGGGGAAAGGCCTAAGGTGTATGTATACATATACGAGATATATATGATGTGCAACCAACCAGCCCACGAGCACCCTTGTGTATCTCTCGATATTTCTTTTTTGTAGAGCCAAATTCACTTCTCTGCATTTTATGCCGGATCACAAGCATGCTTTTGACGGGGAAAATAGGTAGGTGCCTTTTCTTATCGGGTCGTTATTATATTAGCAGGATGCGGTTCCCCGTTTACTTTGGGGCCGCGCTCCTTGGCCACATCCCCCGAGGACATATTTTCCAACTCTTTTAGGATGTCCAACTCTGAAGCAGCTGCCGGCCCGCCACTTTCCAGACCTCTGAACCCTTCTTCGACTCTCCATCTCTTGTCTTGGGCGGGCTTGTACAAGACTTCGCAGGAGTGGCCGACAACTAGGAGGCCGGGTGGTCTGGATCCTTCTTCTTCCACGGCTTGACACACATGCTCGAGGGTCGATCGGATCACTCTCTGATCGGGGCAGCTGGCTCGTTCGACCACGGCGCAAGGTGTACTAGAGGGCCAGAGTGTGCGTCCTGTCGCTTCTTGCTGGTGCTGATCCTCCGAAGACTGCGTCAGGCTTTTGACCAGACTGTCTAGTCTGTGCAGCGCCATCAGGAATACCACGGTCTTGCTTTTTCTGTAAGATGGCGGCTCGGGCGCGGCCCCCTTTCTCCCCGTCCCGGTGCAGATGACGACTTGGTCGGCCACAGCTCGATGAGTGACGGGGATATCGGCGAACATGGGTGCCGAGAGTGCGCTGGTAATGCCAGGTATCACCCGCACGTCGAAACCTCGTTCGCGGAAGAAGGTCACCTCCTCGGCTCCGCGACCGTACAGATAAGGATCACCTTGCTTCAGTCGGAGAACATCCTTGCCTTGCTCCATGGTCTCCAGTCCCATCTGTAGCATCTCCTCCTGCGCGGCGTCCGCGTTGCCTGGGAATTTCCGGGCGATGTGGACAGGCGTTCTCCGAGGGATCAGAGCTAGGATTTCGGCTGGAACGAGCTTGTCGGCCAGAATCACGTGGGCTGTCTCAATGGCTGTCCGGGTGGCGATCGTGAGCAGAGAAGGATGTCCTGGACCTGATCCGGCCAAGGTGATCGTGCCTTTGCGAGGAGGTAGCGACGGAAGTAGGCTAGAGGTGTTGTCAGAACCCGGGGCAGGAGGTTGAGCGGTGGTTCTGTAAGCCTCGAGGATTGCGGCCACGTCGGCGTCCGTGACTGCTGCAAGTCGACTGAGGGGCCAGTACTCGCATATCTGCGAAAGCCATCTCATCCGACGGGTGCGCAAAACAGCTGGATCCCGATCGTCTTCCTTTATTAATGAATTGAAGGTATGTTTCTGCGCCGCGGCTTCTTCATCTTCGGCTTCAGCATCGGGCACTTCGGCGGCGTTGGAGGTGTTCGACCTGTAGTCCTCTGCCCATATGCGCCTCCGAACAGTTCCCAGTCTCTCGACAGCAGCACCGAACTTTGGAGGCAGGGCGGATACAATCTCACGTCGAATGCGCGACGACAGTTTGCAGCCATTGCCGGATGTTGTTATGCCGATTTGGAGTGGGCCATCTGAATAGGTCGACAGGAGCGTGAACGTGCAAAGGTTCGGTGCATCCACGACATTAACCGGTATGCGCAAGCGCTTGCAGACACTGGACACGTGCGAGCTGCGAGGGTCTTTGGCGGGGAGAGTGACAAACACGGCGTCCACGTATCCGTCTACCTTTTCTCTGCCGCATGTCTTCAGGTCCTGCTCTTCAAAGTCCCGTCGTAGCCATGACACCCTGCCCTGATCAATGGCTGCAGCAAGCGTGAAGTGGGGTTGCTCGGTTTCAGGAAACACAACGATCGGTCGAGCGCCAACCTCGAGAGACTTTGTGCACCTTGCGGCAGCGAGAGGCCCCGAACCGAGGATCAGATGGACGTGTCCGACGCAGCTGTGCGCCGTTAGCAAGGCAGGCGTAAACATGGCTGCTGTGTGCGGTGCGGGGGATAGGTACGTGGGAGACAACGAAGCTTTTGAGAAATCAAGGAATATTATACCGAGACGCCATGGCCATGCAAGATGTGAGAGAGATAGAGAGAGAGAGAGATAGGAAACACGAAATATAGCCCAACGTCACCTCGCCATGTCTGTGGCAGCGCGAAAGATTGCTCGGCCCAAGAATGCCTCGAGATGGACAATCGAGGAGAAAATTCTGTATGACGTGATTTGTCGCGTGGTGCTTATCGCTTATCGGACGCCACTCGCTAGACACACAAACAAAGAGACCCGTGGGGCCGCGGAGCCTCGTCTGCTACTATTATTTGGTACAATGGTTCTCTCCGCGGGGTTGCAAGCTCCCTCAATCAGTCTGTTGATGATCCCTTCTGGTCGAGTGGTTCGTCGAGGATCGTGAAGGGGAGGCAGCGGAGATGCACAGTCTCTTCCTCCCATTTGCACTGCTATTCCGAATAGCAGCTCGGTTGACTGGCCCTTGGCCCCTTTGAATGGAGCCATACCTAGGTACCGTCATCAACATCTTATGAAGTCGTCAATTCCGGATCTCGACCGTGAGAGCAGAGACGCGCAACAGCTGGACCAGACGCCGAGGCATCGTGCAGCATTTTCGAGCAGGAACAGGAGGTCGCCTTATCGCGTCCTGAGAATGAGTCCTTTCATTCGCTCATGGAGGTCCCCTGGGCAGACTTTGCTTGAGAAGCGTGTGCACTGTGGATGGAAAGCTTGGCCCCCAAAGAAACTGAAATGTAGATCCTGTACCAGCCAAGAGATTTTGCTGGCGATTTCAATCTTCGGGTTCGTCGTCATCGAAACTGAGCATCTTGCTCATGTATGGGCCATCGAGTGTATATCCGAGGCGTTCGTAGTAGCTCCTGACGCCAACGCCGCTGATGACGCTGAGCTTCTCGCTGCCATGCTCATCTCGGGCAATCTTCTCGGCTTCTTTCATCAGTAGCGTTCCATAGCCTTGATGCTGGAATCTGCTCTTTTCGCGCCCGTGGATCGGAACAGCCAAGCCGTACACGTGAAGCTCACGGACAATGCTCGTCGGCTGGCCCGTGAGCTCTGGTCGAAACGTGTGTGTATCCGAGCATTTCCGCAGCCTCAGCAAGCCGATCAGGATATCTTGCTTGGGATCCTCGAAAGCGAGAAACGTCTCCCAACCGCCATTAGCCGTATAATCCCTCCGCACAAGTTCCACTTGTGACGGACGAATCTTGTTCTTCACCTCGTTGATGCCGACCTCCCGTGTTCGAACATCTCGACAGGTAGTGCCGAAATCCTTCATTCGTGATAATGCAAGCTCCCGGAGGTTGCCATTCTCGACTCCGGATGTTACCAGGGGCATGGGAATGTCCCGCTGTACACGATAGATCCTTGTCCAAGGAGGGATCAGTGCCAGAATTCTAGCCACTAGATCCACAAGGGCGTTTGGGGTGTAGTTCTTGAACCGACCAGTCCGCCACAATTCATAGAGCCCCGTACCACGGATCACCAGCGTCGGGTAGATCTTCAGGCCATCTGTTCGGAAGTCTGGGTTTTCGAAATACTCCTGGAACTGGAAGATATCGCGTTCCATGCCAACGTTGGGCAAGTCGGGCATCATATGCGAAACAACCTTGAATCCCGCATCTTTGCAGAATTTGAATGCCTCTACAACTGCAGCGACTGTATGGCCGCGGTTAGTGTCTCGCGCCACGTCCTCGTACAAAGACTGAACACCAAGCTCCAGCCGAGTACAGCCATATCTTAGCATATCAGAAAGGTGGTCGATCTGTCCGAAGTCGGGCCGTGTTTCGATAGTAATTCCAACGCACTTGATACTCGACATCTCTCCTGCCATCACTGCCTCGTCCACGTTTTCCGTCTGGTAGCCTGATAACGCGTTGTGTAGTTGCGCGACAAAGTTATCACGGTAGTCCTGCGGCAAAGACATAAATGTTCCGCCCATGATGATGAACTCGACTTTATCCACGCTATGTCCGAGAGACTTGATCTGATCGACTCTGCCACGTGCCTGTTCAAATGGATCATATCGCGCACGAATAGCTCGCATGGATGTCGGCTCGTACCCTGTGTAGGATTGGGTCGAGTATTCGAAGTCCGAGTCCGGCCCGCCTGGGCAATAGACGCAAGCATGCCCCGTCCAGGCTATGTGCGGACATCGATGCGGCTTGGACATGACAGCAACCACGGCGATGCCTGAGGCTGTTCTTACCGGTTTCGCAATCAGCTTTGGCATCAAATGTTTCTTGAACTCGGGGGGAACTGCAGCCAGAATCGCGGTCAGAGGAGGCAGGTTGCTCAGCCTGTGCTTCTTGGCGAGATCCCCTCTCAGTTTGTTGAGGTTGACATCTTTCTTGGGCTTCGTCTCATCCAGGCTGGCTTCATATTCTTGGACAAGGGCGCGCGCAATGTCATTACATGCTTGCATGAATCGGACATTCTCTGGGGGGAGTTTTTCATTCTTGCCAATCTTGACTTTGGTCCTGAGCACCGTCTCCGTCGCCATATCGGATTCCGAGCGCAGAGCTGTCAAGCAGACGGTCAATCAAGGTAATGTCAAGTCTCCTGGGAACAGAGAACCCATCAAGAAAGTCATCGAGGGCTCAAAAATTCGATACTAGTATGAAGGCGAGGTCAGCCTTGGCATCCGGAAAAATATTGTTCCGTGATGGTGCCAAAAGCCTTTACGCGTCTCAGTTAATATCCATTACAGCTCATCGCAAGTTATAGGGGAATTTCCCTCTGAATATATGTTTCTTGAACTCTGGGGGAACTGCAGACGGAATCGTCTATTTATCGATAGAATAGATATTTTAACTACTCTAAGGATATCGACGGCAAGGAAAAGAACCCTAATGTCCGGCAGGCTACCTGCACACTCAGTGTCATATCATTCATACAAGTACAGTCCTTCATCTTGTGCTCCGAAGGAACTAAACTGACTCACTCAGATCTCAAGCCCGACGATGTTTTGTTTGATACTGAAGATGATGGGATAGTAAACGAGCCCATAGAGAGGTGCAAAACCACCCTTCTCCAGTGAAAGTCTACCACGACGGGCTTATGTATCCTCACCGTAGCTTCGGTAATCTAAGGCGTTCTCCTAGACGTCCTAAAATTGTAGATTTCGGACTTGCCGTCAAGTTGTCCAATGGCACATTCAATCACCCGACCCAGCCTGATCCCTTACAGGCGGCCGAAGTGATTCTGCGTGCTGGCTGGTCATACAGCGCAGATATATGGAACCTTGGCGTAATGGTATGCGATTCCACGCTAGCTTCAAGAATTGATGAATTAACAGATCTGGGATTTATTGAACGGCGGATCGCTCTTTCATGCTTTCAACCCAGATGCCGATAACCTACGCAGTCGATATGCGTCTCAATAAGATGATATCATTACTTGGGCTACCACTTGAGCAGCTCCTCGCGCGGTGCGTCGATCGGACTTATTTTCAGCCACGCTGGTCATAGCGCGTCGGCACGACCACGAAGGATGTCCAAGGCAATAGCATCAATGCTGTAACTCCGAGACATTCAGAGGAAGAGTACATGCCCACGCGAGTGCTTCTACCGTGTAATGCAGCAGAGCTCAGAGGGATGGAGCTGGCATTCCAGATCACACTCGATGTCCATGCAACGCTGCAGGTCCGAAAAGGGTCTTGCTGACACAAACACCCCCCAACTTCATCTACGAAGCCCTTGGCTCCTGGAGGGCAACGCCTGTGTGATATGAACAAGCTGCATAGCTATGATATGACTAGTGACAGGGAGACATGCGTGAGTAGGACTCCTGCCTACCGCAACAAACTAGACCGGGCAGAGACAACCCGCAATGGTGCCTCCCGTGTCAAAACACAGCAACGATTTATGCCCACTTCCCAAGTAGGGCCATTATCCCTGCACCTAGAAGCATCGAGACAGTCATAAACGCCAACTGCTTGTCGTTGTTGGTGCGGTCAGGGCTGAACAAGAAGTCTCTAGCCATGAGCTCCACCAACCCGGTATAGATCAAGATACCTGCAGAAATCGAGTCTAGTAGTCCAGAGACAACGTTGGCCGTATAACTGTTGGAGTTGTAGGTGGTCCGGACGCCAAGGCCAGCCGCAATGGCAATCGGCGTGGTGAGGCCATAGCCGGCACACAGCCACCAGGGCATCCAGCTGTACCGCTTCGGGAATGGAATTGCGGACAGACGAGCCCCGATACCAAGGCCTTCAAAGGACTGGTGGAAGACGATGACAGGGTATAAGACCGAGAACTCTGGGCCGGATGTTCCAAGCGTCAAACCAATAATCACACTGTGAAACAGGATGCCGAATTCGAGGATCAAGAAGGCCGCAATCTGTTGCCGAAAAGCTAAAGTCGCAGCACGGTCTTTCTCCTCTTCGATACCCAGTCCATCGTCTTGAGCAATTGTCTGCGCGTTCTTAGGCTCCGTCAGTTCTCTTTGTGAAGGCGACTGCTCTCCTTGAATTGTTTCGTTTCGTCCTTCAGCATCAGCGTGAACACGGGATGACCGACGCCGCGAGAGATCGTAGCGTAGCATCGCCGCGTCCACTGAGCCTGAGCGGAGATGGCTGTCGGTTGGGTTGACATTGTCGTGTTGAGTAATCCCGTACTTTTTCTCCACGTAACGCTCGGCGAGGAAATCCATCAGGAACGTCAACATGACAGTCGACAGGGCAATTGCCGGTGGCCATGAATACAGGTCCCATCCGCCGGTCATGCCGACACATGTGTTCATGCCGATCTCGTAGTATGACGGGTCGAGGAGACTGGGGAGCAATCAACCACAATTCGTTTCGTGTAGCAGGGTATTGCACTCACTGGATAAAGCCTGTCGCAATGATAACTCCCGTTCCGAAGTAGCGAGCGAAGAGGTAGACATAGAGTGGAATCCGCAATCGCTTCACTCTGGTCGCCAGGACAGGGAAATAGGTCACCGCCGACGATACAAAGAGAATGACGAAGACGGAAGAGACGCGCGCCCCAAGATTTCCATTGTAGTCGTTGCCAGAATATTGGATGTAACAGGTCACGTCCCTGGCGGAGGCAGTATTGAGATTGACACAAGTAGGGTCGGACAAGCCGAAGGGATAGTTGTGAGACATTCTTCGACGACTTGATCAGCACCGTCTAGATAAAACAATATAGCCAAGAGCCAAGACGGCATATACAAGCTTCTTGGGCGTCGAATTCTTAGCTTTTTCTACGCGACGGCCAGGTCGAGAAAAAAAGGAAAAAGGTGAAAGATTTCTGGCTGAGCAGATATGAGGGAACAATGGGTCTAAGGGCAGGTCGAAAAACGAGGACCTTAACACTACCTAGGTACTGACTAAACCTGATTTGGCCAGCGCTTGCGAATCCCGAGAATGACATAGTTATGTATAGGTTAGTTAGTGCCTGATGGAAAGCTCCGGGGGGTTGCTTCTGGGCTTCAGTAGGCACCTATGTCCATAGCCCGGCATCAGGTCTTTCATGAGCTGGTGCACAACTGTCAGGATTGTCAGGAACTGTACGACAAGTTTACCTGCTGGGAAAACCTCCTCAGCACGCAGTAAGGGCAAGAATAAAAGAGTCACTGTCGGAAAACTGAGCACGTGGCATCGTCACTTCCGCTGAAGAAAGGTTTAGCCCGAGCGACCTATTTGCGGTCTGGTAGAGTCGTAGAGTATTGGTCAACCACAGGTTCCAAATGTTGGGCTAAGATGCATTGTCCAGAAACACTTCAAACCTTCCTAGCTACGACCAAATCCACCGTCCGCCAGACTATGAAAGGTAAATAGGACTAGCGTTAAGAATCAGCCAAGCACGGCTCAGGGCTCTTCAGATTTAGGGTCCGACCCGGAAAAGGGACGTATCTAGACACCCACCGAGTGGTCAGCTCGGTCATCACGCAGATACGCACAGGCAAAAATCGGTGTACGCGTATCTCCACGCCATCAGGAAGGCCAACACTAATGTTCATACGGATACGGGCGCTAGACGGTACGACATATCCTACTTGAGTGCTAGCAAGGCTCCATTCGTGGACATCAAGCGCATTCTATAGCTCGTCAATAGCGGTCCATCGGCCAAGAAAATGATACAGGACTACTCCAGCAATTTCGGGTAGTGCCGTCCGCGGGACTCCAATATTCGAAAGCGTAGACGAGTAATTTTTATCAAATAGAAGTCGAGGGGGGTCACGAAAGGCCTAACAGGTACATAGACACCAGGACAGTTGGAGCTCATAATATATAGAAGACGAGGTTCTTATCGTAGACGGCGACTATATCCGAAGGGGTAGTGTCGCCTAAACCGAAGGTGGATTTCCGGGTAACGTCTTTACAAACTAATTATCTTGGATGCGAAGCTGAAACTACTTCGGGGGAATATCGATATTCAATGCTCCGGTGGGAGGTTTTCGGCTCACTGCAGCTCTAACATACCACACCGCGTCCCAACTAAGACTATTTCAGACTGTGCAGTCTTTGAGCTACACGATAACAAGCTGGCTCGTGGTTGAGGGTGGCCATTCCATGGGCAAATCCCATTCTCAGAGCTGCTTCTCACGGTTCCTCCTCCATACCTTAACTGGCATCTCGCCCAAAATCCAGTTAAGTGTCTCCAGTCTCTCGATCTCCCAGTCCGAGCTTTTCAAGGCAAAGTCGTATCTTCTCAACAATGTCCCCATCGCCACCGTCTGCTCCAGATAGCTGATGTTGCGGCCAATACAACCCCGTGCCCCTGCGCTGAACGCCAGGAAATACGGTTGAAGGGCCTTGCCTGACTCACCCAGCCATCGCTCGGGGATGTACTTATCTGGGCTGGGGAAGATATTGGGGTCACAATGAGCGGTCAACGCGGACATCATCACCGATACTCCGCCTGCAATGAAATCATCGGCGATCCTCATGCCTTCTGGTGGCGTCAGTCGCAGCAATCCGTGTACCGTTGGAGGGAATAGGCGGAGAGATTCGTCAAGGCAAGCACGGAGGTAGGGCAGATGTTTGAGCCGGTCGTAAGCAATGACCCCGTCTTCGTAGTAACCGCCCGCAGACTCGCAGTCTTCAACCACGTCGGCATCCAGAGCCGAGTCGATCTCTTCTCTGACTTTGTGCAGACACTCTGGGTTCTTGAGCAACTGGAACATCACGTTCGTTATAGCGATGGCCGTTGTAACCGATCCAGCGTTCAGCATGATGCTGACTTCGGCCACTATCTCACCCCATTCGAGATTGTTCGGACGAGAGCTCTTGTCCTCCATAAGCGCTTGGAAGAAATCATCAAGCCTTTCACCTCGTTGATAGCGCTCCAGACGGCGAGCTGCGAGTTCCAGCGGGATTCCCTCCCATTGTCGGTGTAGGGCACCCATACGACCGTAAAACGGAATGACATCGGCGATTTTGTTGAGAAACGGGTACCATGCATATGGCCAGATGAGAAGAGATTGTTTATGAGCCATTTTATACAAGCAGTCCCGCATATCTGTCTCATAACGCGTTCCATTCGTCCGGCGTGCGACCATGCGCGAATGGCCTTTGTCGAGAAAGCCTAGCGGGTCCGAAAGGCCTATGTCGGAAATGGCGTCGAGACTGAAGAAGTTCATCCAGGCGCGAAAGTCCAGGTTGACGTCTTCTGAGACCGGCACTTTCTGACCCTGTTGCATGGGCGTGGTACAGCATTGATCAAAATGCTTGATGATCCGGCTCATCTTGTCAGCCACCTTATGCTCCCACTGCTCGAGATTCTTGATGGCATAGGCTGATGACAGGACTTTCCGTTTGCGGCCGTGGTCGTTGCGGTCTATCACATCTGCTAGGTGAAAGTGACTGCCAGAGAAGAGGACGTAGGAAGGGTCCTTGATGCAGGGAGTGTTGTGGCCATATATATCCTTGATGGCTCTGACGTCCCCGTATGATAGAGTATTGGGAGCGACGCGGATCACAGGATATTTTTTGTGCATCTCCGTCAGATACGCCGACCTCGCCCCAGTATGGGCCAGAATCATCATTGGAATGGAGCTGATTCCAGAGAACATCGACATGTTGGGGAATTTGCGCAACCCTGTACACCATCAGCCTCTGCTTCCCTTACATACTGAGAGTTCGGGTCCAGCAGCATACCTTTCGGGTCGCGGAAGTATCCTACCACAGGCCATGCAATAAAGTAAATGAACAAGGCCGCTGCCAGAACGACAGCGTACGTAAGGGATGGCAACCACATTCTTGCGGTCCCCAAACACGTAGGATAAAGCCGAAGTAGTCGAAGGAGCTTGAGCTTGAACAATTTCACTCTCTTACAAAAACCAAGACTCGTCTGCTGCGGTGCAACATCAGCGCAGTTAAGTCTTCTGTATGAGATTTATCTCTCCCTCCCCAGGAGCCAAGGCGGCCTCCTACATAGCGACTGAAGGGCCACTGATGCCATGTGTTCGCACTGCACTGAGGGGCAGCTCAGTCCATGTGGGTTGGGACGGCAAGAATGGGATCAATAGGATCACCGGGATCAATGGGGAGCAGATTCTGGACAGCTCGGCAGCATCACCATCCTTTTGCAGATTGCCACCTCATTTCTGGCGACTCTGATCGGTTCTCGAAATGGAAAACAAAGAGGGCGACGTCGAGAAGTGGGACCGCTCAATTCTTTCCTCATCCGCGGGAAGGAAACGGATGAGGAAATTGGCGAGCGCAGGACAGCGGAGGAATCTTCCCTCAAACAGCGTTTCGGAACTCGGCAGCCGTTGATCCCAACGAAGGAATGAGTGTCCAAACTTCCCTGTTTGACAACAGACTCGTTGCCTCAAAACATGAAATCTTCTGGTGTCAAAGTTTTGATCATAACAGGGTGATGCAGCACGAAGGACGTCTTCCGAAACAGCGGGCATATGTTTCGAATGTAATTTTACAGTACCTTGACTGGTGATACACGAAAGCCCTATCTCGGCAATGCGGCAATTCATTCACTGCATTCCGGCCCAATGTCTCTCCAAGTGGTCAATTATATGATCAATACCCCAACCCAACTTTGCTCTGACGCCGCGGAGGAAGTCTACGGCCGCTTCTCGTTCTCCAGGAGACTTGAGACAGTGTCCACATGCGTAGAGGATGTGCGAAGCCTCAAAATTGGCGGCTACAACATGGGGGTTGCTGAGGGCCAAACCAATGCAGCGTTTGAGGTCAATCCGGACCTTTTGTTCCGTTTCTCGCCACAGTCGTATGCTCTCAAGACCCCTACACCGAGCCGTGTTGAATGGGTCGCTCAGGGCAAGCAGAATGAGAGTCAGGTGGTAGTACATCAGTCCGATGACATGTGGGGCTTGGAGCATCGAGATCGTTGGAAAAGGACTTCGGGACTCAGCTGTTGTATGCTCGGGCCGTGCGCCTTCTTCGATTGAAGTCTCGAAGACGGGCAGAAACGTGTCAGGCCTGTCGTTAAACCACTGGGTCGCGGCGTGTTGCAAGGCATGCCAATCCTCGACGTCGGCAGCCCCGTGTCCATTGCTTTTGGCGGAGTAAACCAGAGTCTCCGCGAAAACGAAGACGATTTTGTTAGCCCAGGCGTGGTCGGTGAGACCGAGGAAGACCGACGACGTTTTATAGCAGCCAAGATTAACGTTCAAAGGGGTGCTGCTTGTCAACGAAACGTATATACTCTGTCGGAGCACCAGCCATGCTGCTGATTCTCCCAATCCGCCATTTGCAGCAACCTCTCCGACCGAATTAATGACGCGAGAGGAGCCAAGCAGATGGCACATGCGGTCTTCATCTGCAGCGACTGGTCAACGGCCCGCAGTGGACATGGAGGAAGGCGGACACCCACCTGACATCTCTTCTCCCTTGCGCAAGACCACAATAGCTGCCAAGAAGTTCTCATCGGGAGCATATTCAGGGTCGTCCAAGAATCGAATCAAGATTCGTATGCACTTTGCCTGGTATTCTTCATAGAATTGGTCTGGGACACCTTGAACCCGACTGCGATGGATGGAAGCAGCAGCAATGATAGCATAAAATAGCAAGGGGCAATGGGCTGCTCTCTGGGGTACAGTCGTCGTGAAATGGGAAACGTGGTCAGTGACATCCAGTTGAGGCCCGATGTTGTCGATGAAATGCCGAAGGAGTTCAGCCTCTGCTATATTGTTCAACGGCCAAAGAGGCTTGGACTCGTAAAGAACGGCGCTTGTAGAGGGCGAAAGGATTTGCACTTGGCTTGATGGGGTGCGATGCTGCTGTACTGGGGAGACCAGATACGTCGGAGACGAAGCGAAATGGGACGCTCCCGAAGGGCTGCCTCTCCCAAACGACAACGATCCCTTTTCTGCATAGGATCCCACGGCCGCAACAACACTAGTTTCTCCAACCACATCCGCGTTCTCCAGACGCACATTCACGGGATTCGCAAAAGCTCCCTCATCTTCGTCAATGACAACGGAAGACTGTGCGTCACTTAAATCTTCGTCATTGTCGTTACCATGGATGAATTGGACTTCACAGACCAGGGTCAGCTCAAATATTGGTGTCGAGCGGGAAGACGATAAGCAGTGGGGAGACTCACCAGGCGTGTGAAAGTCTACCCAGACATGATCACCACCATAGACAAAAGATATCTCCCGGCCACTCTGTCCGGAAGAGCGGGATTGTTCAATCACGGAATGGACAGCTTTCAACCGAATTCGTTTCCGGGGAGGTGGCAGGCAAAGCTCATCTGCAGTCTCACAGCCTTCACATCTGCGCATGCCACGCCCAACGATGCCTGGAGTTCTGTTTAGGATCCAGCCCAGGCATAGTGGATGACCACTCACATTTACTATGCTTTTCACGGCATCGCTGGCTAGCATATGGTTAGCTGCAGTTTCGGAGATCAGGGAGAACACCCACCATCCTTGTGAGCGCATAGCTCCTCATATCTCCGTGGTTGAGGTCGTCGTCCTTCGAGACCAGACATCAGGAATCAGAAGTAATCAACTTCGGCGAAGACTTGCTTCAAATAAACGACGAATGGTCATGCATGACCCCATATTTTGGCACCAGACACTTACCTGGGGGACTAGGCTAGTATGTGTGCGGAGGAAGCATCGGCTGCCCTCATTACCATGACCCAGTTTTGCGGGTGAAGTTCCAATGCGGCGAATCTCCGGTGCGGAGTTTTCTTGGTGACCTCTTTAAGGTTGAGAGAATCAAAGCCGGTAAAGTCCTATGCATTCAAGGAGGCGACGCAAGACTTTCCAGCCGACCAGTGCCCAACACCTCCACCCGAGGTCCAGAGTTGTCTTGAGACCGGCTTTGGCCTCCGGTCTTGCTGGACAGATGTTCAGTTCGCTAACAGCTCATAAATCATAGCGATTGTTCCTGCAGGCGGACCCTTGCATCAGGTCAGGAATGCTATCGTTTGAGGAATCTTTCCTCCGAAACAAGCTTTATAGATTTAGCCGCTATGGCCTGCGGAATATGTCCCTGCCAATAGCAAAGCGCTGATCATGGGCCAGAATGTCGAGTTATCAAAGTCGATGCCACAAAATCCTGGGTAGAGATGTGGATATACTTTTTCCAACGACAAGCGCCGTTCAGAGTCCCCGTGGGGAACGCCACGCGACTTGGAGGAGACACTGGACAACGATATAAAGGAATGATGGTCGCAGAGTCCTTGCCTTTTCTTCGCCTGTATCGCTTCTCCTAGCACACCCTGTCTCGATCCTTGTTGGATACTGGAGACCTGTGCCGAGTTCGGAGTCCTCATCGCTGTTCGATCCTGTACAATCCCACAAGATGTCTGCAAACGAGAAGGAGGTTATCGAGAAAGGCGCCCAAACTATTCTTCATGAAGAGGATGTTCTCGACAAGGAGATTGCAGCTCTCAACACGATCGAAGATACACAGACCTCAAGGGTCGTATGGTTGATCGCAATCTGCGTCTCTGTTGGCGGCTTCCTGTTCGGTATAATAGGATCCTCATTGTTCATTTGGCTTGAGATTCCTGCTGACTGGCTTTCTCAGGATATGACACCGGGTATATCTCTAGTGTCCTTGTCACAATTGGGGATGACCTGGGGCACACTTTATCATCGAGCGAGCAGGAACTCATCACATCAATCACCAGTGGAGGAGCGCTTATTGGCGCAATATTTGCTGGCTTGACCGCTGACCGCTATGGCCGCAAGATTTCCATATATTGTGGTTGTGGGGTCTTTGCCGTTGGCTCCATTCTTCAAGCAGCAGCTTTTACCGTCGCTCAAATGACTGTAGGGAGATTTGTTGTTGGGCTAGGTGTCGGTGAGTGTGCCTGCAAACCATATACATCTTGACAAAGCTCTGGTCCAGAGCTCTCTCTTGTCATCCACAACTGAATGCTGACGAAATGTTTAGGAAGCGCGGCAATGGTTGTGCCACTGTAAGTCTTCATCTTTTCGGGATTCCTTCTTTGCGTTCAGCGAAGTCGAACTCAGCCTATATCTCTCACGCGGAGGACAGACTGACATAGCAACAGCTACATATCCGAAATTGCTCCTGCCAAGTATCGTGGCCGCATGATCACGATGCAAACCTGTAACATCACCGGAGGACAGTTCATCGCATACTGCATCGGAGCCGGATTCGCAGAGGTCAAGTCTTCTGGCTGGCGATATGTTGTGGCTATAGGAGCAATTCCCGCCATCGTGCTCGCTCTGTTCCTGCCTTGGTGCCCGGAAAGCACTCGGCAGCTGGTGGCGCACGGGAAGCTCGAGCAGGCCGATGCCGTGCTGGCCAAGTTGTATCCTCATTCTTCCTCAGAACAGCGTCAGGACAAGATTCGAGCCATACAGCAAGATCTGGAGCAAGCCACCGAGCTGATGGCCCACAAGTCCCTCTGGTGGTCATACAAACAGCTGCACATCGTCCCTGCCAACTTCCGTGCCATGCTTACAGCGTGCTGCGTGATGGGAGTAAGCCAACTCTGCGGGTTCAACACGCTGATGTGAGTTCCTGGCCTCTCCTTATATATCGTGTAGTATACATCTGACATGACCGTCCTGCAGGTACTACAGCGGCACTCTGTTTGCCCTTGTCGGCTTCAATAAACCTGTCGCCGTGTCAATTGTGGTCGGAGCTTGCAACTTTCTGGGATGCTGTATCAATCTAGTCATCGTCGACCGCTTTGGCCGTCGGAGGATCCTCATCGTCACCGTGCTGGGCATGTCTCTCAGTCTGGTGCTTGCAGCTGTTGCCTTTCACTACATTCCCATTAACTCTAAGGACCTTACACTTGAGATCAACAACGTAAATTGGGCTGGTATCCTGGTACTGGTCACAATCATCTTTTATGTGGGCTTCTTCGGTACTGGTGTTGCCCCTGTTTCCTGGATGGGAGCAGAGCGTCTTCCGCTTGAGGTGCGTGCCATGGGCACCATGGTCATGACGGTTACCTGCTGGGGGACGAATATCATCATTGCCTCGACCTTTCTATCGATGATGAAAGGATTAACCCCGAGCGGAGCGTTCGGATTCTATGCTGCCATCTGTTTCCTAGGGTTCTTGTTCGCGGTCTTCTGCTTTGCAGAAACCAAAGGCATGTCTCTGGAAGAAATTCGAGAGGTATTCAACCACGGTTTCGGTGTTGATTATGCACGAAAATGGCAGAAGCAGCATTCCTTGGAGGTCAAGAGAGCAGTCTCGTCTGCTTAGCCGGAGAACAGGTACAAGATTCCGGTGCCGTGGTCGACTCGTAGGGAGAGCTGCGTGAGCCCGAAGTACGGCTTTCAGGAAGGTCCAGGTAAAGGTTTGGCGAGCCTTTTGCAACAACATAACAGCAGGAGATATTGTGTTGAAAGGCAGTGATCGATATTCTAGGATAGCAAACTAGGAATAAGACAAAGTGGTCCTTCGTGGGAAATTGTAAGAGAGAGCCATCACGGCCCCTGCCATCCGATGGTGCTTTGAGTGTCCATACGATCGAAACACACTTAGCAAGGTGGTTGCTCAGGGTAGTCACCCTCGGTTTCCTGTAAATCCACAGTTTGGCTAAACAAAGATCTCTTCTGATGCTGCCAATGCAAGAGTAAGTAGTCACCATTTCAGAGAAATTTCTGTATATCTTCAGTGAGAGACCGATAGCACTCAGATTGGACAATGGCTGCCCAAAGAGCCTGTTACCAACGTGAGCCTGTTAGTGCAGGGAAGCAGAAGGAAATGGTCCTGGATTGTGCAGTAGTCTTGAGGGCTAAAGTCTGAAAAACGACGAGATCTGTTAGCTGGCTGAGGTATCGACTCACCAGATGTTCACAATTGGCTTCAAAGCAGAGGTTGATATGAGGACATTCACTAAGTTCTTTAGGTGAATGGACGTACATTGTGTTTGTTGTTCCGTCTCATGTTGATGGAAGCAAGATGCGATTTTGGGTCGAATGCTCCGCCGCTCATTTCAAATGACGTTTTCAAATGACACTCGGCAACCCAGCCAGCCAGGAGCTTCCCTACTCCGCAGGATGAAACTCTGATATCAATCAATTGTCGCACTCGCTCGAATTCCACCATCGTTGGGCTTGCAGTCAGACTCTGGTCCTGCTCTTAAAGCCGTCGCCAGAGATGCAGGCTTTCAAAACCTGCGCTCCTCGGGCGCTGCGTTCTGCGACTACCACTTCGTCGAGAAGCTATGCCACCGTCTCCTCCAGTTCAGCTTATAGCCAGACGCGGAATAACCTGAGAATCAACGCCGACACCAAAGTCCTCTTTCAAGGATTCACGGGGAAGCAGGGCACGTTTCATGCTCAGCAGGCAATTGAGTATGGAACTAAGGTTGTTGGTGGAACAAACCCGAAAAGCAAGCCTCCCTCAAGACTCCTTGCATGGATACAGCATGCTGACCGCAGGCAGAGGCCGGTTCTTTGCATCTTGATCTGCCCGTTTTCAAGTCTGTTTCCGAGGGGGTCAAGGAGACCGGAGCCAATGCAAGCGTCATATTCGTACCGCCGCCGGTAGCGGCAGCAGGCATAATGGAAGCCCTTGAAGCTGAGATCCCACTAGTTGTTTGCATTACTGAAGGGTAAGGCAGGTCTTATAGTGATTTTACCTTACTGACCAACTTAGAATTCCTCAACATGACATGCTCAGAGTCACCGACGCGCTAAAAACCCAAAGCAAAACACGTTTGGTCGGTCCCAACTGCCCTGGAATCATCGCGCCCGGCCAATGCAAGATCGGCATCATGCCAGGGTTCATCCACAAACGAGGAAGAGTTGGAATCGTCTCCAGGTCAGGAACATTGACATATGAAGCGGTCAATCAAACAACCCAAGCAGGTCTCGGGCAATCTTTGGTCGTGGGCATTGGCGGTGATCCATTCAGTGGCACCAACTTTATTGACTGCCTGACCGTTTTCATGGAAGACGACGAGACAGAGGGAATCATCATGATCGGAGAGATCGGAGGCAGCGCCGAGGAAGATGCTGCGGAGTTCCTGAAGAGCGAGAACAAGAAGAACAAGCCAGCAGTTAGCTTTATCGCTGGTATCAGTGCCCCTCCAGGGCGCCGAATGGGACATGCTGGTGCTATTGTCAGCGGAGGGAAAGGTGGCGCCGAGTCGAAGATCTCGGCACTGGAAGCCGCCGGAGTGGTCGTGGAGAGGAGCCCAGCCATGTTGGGCAAGTCGTTGCATGCACAGTTTGTCAACCGGGACCTGGTTTGATAGAGGGGCGTTCACGTTAGGTGCGATCAGGGAGGAGAGACACCGAGTCTTCCAGGGAGGATACGTTCATGTATTTCTGATACCGCGAACAAAGCGCTTGTGATAACATTCTACATGGCCACCTGCCCAGGGAGGCTTGAACGACCAGCTCCTGTACAGCTTTCCTGTTGAGGCCTCTAAACCGTATCATACTTCCAATCTTACGCCGTCAGTATGTCCAGCTCGTTGCACAGATTATCATCCCTTATTTCAGAGACTCCGTAAGATCATAGTGATATGGCGCCCCGCCGACTCGCTCGAACATGCAGCCAAGCTTGAAAACCGCAGAATACCAGGAATCCCTGCCGTTCCTGTCAGTGTCCAACCCGTAAGTCGCAGTTCAGCGGAACGGAGACTCACAGCATATACCGCTACCGCAATAAATATAGAGGTTGCGACCGCTCCGCCGTCTTCAGGATCCTCTTCCATTCCCATCATCATATGGTGATCCCTCTGTTAACAACCAGAAAATCAGCATTAAATTCCCATGAGAGCTTATTTCGCATGTGGTAGGTCACGTTCGTACCGCAAACAGGCTTCCTATAATGGAGAGGATGACGATGGCGAACACTGAAAGAACCGTGCTGTTGAAGGGTTAGCCGTCTGCATCACACATGTATTCTGACAAAGGCCGAAAGACTGACCAGCTCCATGCATTCAATGCGGACACGACTGGCTTCATAATGAATTATGTATTTATGGCAACTTGTCGCAACCGAGAAGTAGGAGTCTGCGACTCAAGAAGGCAGCGCAGGGCGGTTCGACGTGGTCGACAGTCACTCGAGGACGCAGCCTGTGACAAGTCCCGTGCCACAAATTCAACGGCGACTTTCTGGATGGGGCTGTGATTTTCAAACAGTCTTTGGGCTGCACAGGAGTGACGTGCGCTTCGTTGAGAGGTTGAGCTTCAAGCCTGAGGTCTTAACGGCCAGCATCGGGACAGCTCGACGATGCGCAACGCCCTGACTGACAAGCCAATCAAAAGAGCTGCTAGTCCCGACGGATTAAACCTCTTCCGCTCCGACCACCTCCCCCTCGTATGACCTTGATCTGATGATCCAATTCCTCGTTCCATGAGCATGACCTTCTTACTATCTGACTCCCCTTTGACGAACGTTTATCTATTTGACATATTCTTTCTCTCCTATTGACTTCTCCTACTCTCGACTCTCCTTGACAAGAATGATTTGAGTGACTTCAAATCACAATACGACTAGGAACCTTCTCCTTCAACACCACGTTGGAAGTCATCGAGGAGCTCAGCACGTGCTCTCTAACCAACTTGCTTTCCGACTGTTGTTGAGACGCCCATCGCTTTTCAGAGTCGTCGTCGACATATTCATGCCCCGCAGTGATCACAGCTCAGATAGCAGCGAGCGCTCACCGCTCATCCGAGCCGGCAAGACCTCGACCAAAAATGACGACATTCCGGAACAACCACTTGGACAGCACAGGCGCTATTCCGAGGAGCCGCACCAGCCAGAGAATGGCCTGCTTTCGGACGAGCGAACAATGTCAGAGGCTATTGACTATGAAGAATCGGTAGTCGAATCCAAAAGTGCCGTGTACCTCTGCTTCCTCACGTTTTGTATTGGAGGTCTTCAGATCGTCTGGTCCGTCGAACTCTCCAATGGATCACCGTACCTACTCTCTCTGGGAATGAGCAAAGCACTGCTTGCGTTTGTTTGGCTCGCAGGGCCCTTGACCGGTGTACTTGTTCAGCCATATGTAGGAATCTTGAGCGATCGATCCCGCATCTCATGGGGCAAAAGGAAGCCTTTCATGGTTGCAGGAACTTTGGGCACCGTTGCTTCTTCGATGATCCTAGCATACGCCCGAGACATTATCCGGGTTATCGGAGGGCTCGACGCGAATGCTCAATATACTGGAGGCTACAAGACCGGGACCATCATCCTCGCGACAGTCATGATGTGGTGTCTGGACTTTTCCATCAACACTGGTTAGTGCGTTCCCGGCAAACATGTTTCCATCATCTGACAATATCCCAGTGCAAGCCGCAATTCGTGCGTTTATTGTCGACAATGCTCCGTCTCACCAACAAGAGTCAGCCAATGCTTGGGCCTCACGCATGACAGGCGTCGGTAACGTGCTTGGGTATATCTTTGGATATCTGAACTTGCCACGTTACTTTCGCTTTTTTGGAAACACTCAATTCAAAGTCCTGGTTGTTCTCGCATCCATCGCCCTGAGTTCGACAGTCTTAGTAAGCATCCTGGCTATCAAGGAGCGGAATCCGCAACTTGACCCTCCCTCCAAGGCAGACTATGAATCGGGTGGGTTGCTGTCCTTCTTCAGGCAAGTCTTCAGTTCCATCAAGCGGCTGCCACCTCCCATCCGCAAGGTCTGCGAGATACAATTCTTTCACTGGTTAGGATGGTTTCCGTTCCTCTTCTACATCACAACCTACATTGGTCAACTGTATGTTGACCCCCATCTGAAGCCTGGCCTCTCGGATGATGAAGTAGAGCGGTTTTGGGGCAAGGCTACTCGAATTGGAACGCTTGCACTCCTTGCATATGCTATCGTCTCGTTTGCGTCGAATATCATCTTACCTTTCTTGGTTGTACCAACATACAAAGCTAAGACGACGGACGATGCCGAAGATTTTACGCGACCTATCACTCCGACGTCCCCCATCGGCACGAGATCAGGAGGGTTTCCCTGGAACGAACGTCCTACAGCAAGTCGGTCTTATACCAATCGGTCTCATACCAGTTTGTCACTCAATCGGCCGCTCTCGACGCCTGTCGCCAGCACATCGTTGGATGATAGACCTGGGGTTTTGGAACGGTGGTTGGATAGATTGCAAATTCCAGGGCTAACGTTACGACGAGCGTGGCTAATGGCTCAGCTCCTGTTCACGCTCTGCATGTGGAGTACTGTGTTTATAACTACACCGCTGGCAGCTTCTATCATGACTGCTCTGGTCGGTATCTCCTGGTCACTGACCCTTTGGGCCCCGTTTGCGTTGATCTCAGCCGAGATATCTCGACGTGATGAGGCAAGACGGAAGAGGCAGCGGCAGAGACTCATGAACGGGGAAGACCTTGACGACATTGATGATAAAGAATCAGAAGAGGAGGATCAAGCTGGTATTATCCTTGGGCTCCACAACGTGGCCATCAGCGCCCCACAGATTCTGGCGACATTGATTAGCAGCGCCGTGTTTAAGCTGCTTCAAAAGCCGCGAAACGAGCCGGGCGATGTCAGTGTGGGGTGGACTTTGAGAATTGGTGGGCTTGGGGTGCTGGCAGCCGCATTCCTCACTTGGCGGATGAAAGAACCTATCGATGAAGATGAGCCGGATATCTGAAGCATAGCACAGCATCATTCTGGTGTGGGTCAGTCCTACTATGAGAGCCATTGGGTGAAGGCATTCGAAGGTCAGAGCTGGGACGAACCGACGATTCATTTCTTTATTTTATGCCTGGATATACTTCCCTGTCAACACTAGTACAAGATTATTGCACCCGGGAATTGGCACATTGGGGATTGGAGGGTCTGAAGGATTCTCGGCGGCATTATGGACCGAATTTAGGGACGGGATAGCATTGTACAGTGTCTGGATACTTTTGTGAGGGATTCCTTGGACATGATGGCGCTCTCTTTGTCTCAGTGCCGTGTCCTTGGGCCTGTGTCTCTTTCTGGATGGCGCAATGCAAGGCTTCATGTGACGGGGTTTTAGGTGCTCGGCGGGTTTGAGCTGCTCCTCCTGTCAACTTTACTGGGACTGTAGAAGCGACACACGGCAGGGGGGATGTCGGATTATATTGCATATACAGCCGCCAGCGTGAATGTTGAAGGATCGGTCTAGTTACCTGGTATGGTCAGCACAAGGGCAAGTAAACAAGAATCACAAACAGTATCGGTATCAGCGTCAGCGTCAGCGTCAGCATAATTCTTTGTCTCTCCATTTCCTCCATTTGTGAACCAAGGTGCATTCTGACGCGGGCAGCTTTCTTCGCTTTTGAATACGAGGGCGGAGCAGGTACGGAAAGCCCATCCAGTGCCATCTTACCTCCACCATTCTTCTGGGGCTGGACACTGAACACAGACTTGGGCCTAGTCCAGGTGTGGCGAATCCGATGGAGGCGTCAGGGCGTCCAACGGTCCAGCATCAGACGAACCGAAGAGCAACCGTGAGGATGAATGTGGGATGAATGCGCCTACAGGCTGTTAGGCTAAATTTCGGCAGGCGACCCAAGGGATCCAACACTCACAAAGTTCAAGAGCACATTTAGGACATTTGCCGGACGACCTCAGTCCGTAACCAATCCGGTAGAATGCCATCCATGCAGTGGACCGTTCCATCGTCCAACTCTGCCAGTGGAAAAAAGACATGGTTCCCACCAGGATAAACCATGGGGTTTGATCGTCCAGCGTTCAGGCAGAGGCGGGCAAAGAGTACAAATATACGGTCCTCGGTCCGGGCTAGTGAGGCGAAACGAACGACGATTTTCTCCTCTGCATTGTTACACAAAGGCTTCATGCGAGACGCTTCTGTTTGCTTAAGACGCTGATACAACCCAAACGACAGTTTGTCACCCCCGCCCGCGCTCGACCTGATTCGCGTCCCCAGGCTTTTGATCTGGTTCACTCGTTAGAACTTCTCAAAAGACACAGAAAAAGAGCTAGATATTCTCGTCATTCGCTTCCACCATGGTCAAGGACATTGCTTCGAGAGCGGGTTTGCCTGCTGACTTTCTCTGGGGCTTTGCAACTGCTGCGTTTGTATCCCAGTCACCGATCCACATGCCCACACTAACCAGGTGTAGATATCAGATTGAGGGCGGTGCCACAGCAGACGGACGAGGACCTTCAATATGGGACACCTTCTGCAAAATCCCCGGCAAGATTGCCGACGGTAGCTCTGGGGATGTTGCATGTGACTCGTATCACCGGACAGCCCAGGATATCGAGCTGCTCAAGAAGCTGGGAGCCAGAGCGTATCGTTTCTCTATCTCATGGTCTCGGGTCATTCCCCTGGGTGGCCGTAATGACCCGGTCAACGAGGCCGGGCTCCAATACTACGTCAAATTCGTTGACGACCTGCTCGCAGCAGGCATTGTGCCCTTCATCACTCTTTTCCACTGGGATCTGCCTGATGAACTCGAAAAGCGCTACGGAGGCTTCTTGAACAAGGAAGAGTTCGTTGCTGACTTTGCCAGTTATGCACGCGTCATGTTCGAGGCCATGGGTTCCCGGGTGAAGCACTGGATCACCTTCAACGAACCGTTCTGCAGTGCCGTGCTCGGGTACAATGCCGGTGTATTCGCCCCAGGTCGCTCCAGCGACCGAAAGAGGAGTGCCCATGGTGATGGATCTACCGAACCTTGGATAGTCGGCCACCACATCCTGTTGGCGCATGCAACTGCAGTCAAGATCTACCGGGACGAGTTCAAGTCACTGAATGGAGGAGAAATCGGGATCACCCTGAACGGTAAGTTTTCTGTCTTGCGCCCATGACTACTCGCAGAGGGGCCAATCTAACACAGTGCAGGCGACTGGACGGAGCCATGGGATCCCGAGGACGAACAGGACCGGATAGCATGCGATCGCAAGACCGAGTTCGCCATCTGCTGGTTTGCCGACCCCGTATACTTTGGGCATTATCCGGAATCGATGGTAAAGCAACTGGGTGACCGCCTGCCCAAATTCAGCAAAGAAGAAAGCGAGCTCATGAAGGGTTCCAACGATTTCTACGGAATGAATCACTACTGCGCCAATTACATCAAACACAAGGAAGGCCCCATCGATCCGCTCGACTGCTCGGGCCACGTGGAGATTCTTTTCGAAGACAAGTACGGTAACAGCATCGGACCTGAGACGCAAAGTCCCTGGCTCCGACCTCACGCGCCAGGGTTCAGAAAACTGATGAAGTGGCTGAGTGATCGATACGGACGTCCTAAGATCTACGTGACGGAGAACGGCACGAGTATCAAAGGCGAAAACGACTTGTCGCGTGAGGAGATCCTCGAAGATGATTTCCGATGTGAGTATTTCCGGAGCTATATCACCAGCATGGCCGAGGCTGTGGCGGAGGACGGATGCGATTGTCGTGGATACATGGCATGGAGTCTCATGGAGTAGGTGCCACCCCCTTTACGTTGCCAGAATCGTGGATACTAACACATGGATGAACAGCAACTTCGAATGGGCTGAAGGATACGAGACTCGCTTTGGCGTGACCTATGTTGACTATGCGAACGACCAGAAACGATACCCGAAGAAGAGCGCCCTGGAGATCAAGAAGATATTTGATCAGTACCTTGGCAAGATATGAGTGTCGGATGGGATATTTCCTAGATACTACGATGCTTCCAGTGGTCGTAGACGCGAGCTTTGACAAGTTGGCATGGGCATGGGATATTGGAGTTTTGTGTGACCATTCTGGACACGATGTTTACGAGGGACTTATCAGAGGAGTCTGGATTACCATACAAAGGATACTTTCCTAGATCAGACCGGACTACGGTGGATATGCGTGCCTGGCCAAAATGATGAGATTCACCGAGTTGCGATCTCCTGACATTTAAAGATTGCTGATATTAACAAGTTCGAGCGTAGACTGTTTCTGGTAGCTGGGGGTTCGAGAGACGGCGGCCTCGCCTCATTCGGGCATCGGCTTCTGGGAGCATCTGCGTCCGACGGGCGAGTCCCTCTCTTTTTCAGTCCTTTATTTCTCCCTCACTCTCTACCTCACACTCTCACCTGTTCTTCTTTGAAAGCAATACATCTCCCTCTCCATCACCGCGCATAGACACACAAAGTCGTTGTACTTTGGCAAAAGTGCAGGGAAAAAAAAAACCAATGGAGACGCCGACGGTGCCCATCAACTTTGTCCCCGCAAAGGCCGGCGAGACGTTCAAGGTCGGCACAATCACCATCCGAATCATGGAGGATGGCTCAAGGACAGGTCCGTGCCACAGTTTTTGCACCTGAGAATCACTTGCTAATCCGGCTGCAGATAGTGAGTCGAGACCGAGGTCATGCTGCTGCTGTAGAGGCGGAATGTATTGGCTGACTGACACATGGCGCCAGATCGAATTGGCAGGTAAGTGCTGGAGAGAGGGGAGCAAAGTCGATGCAGCTCGTCCTCTTCGACGCAGCCTCTACAACAGCCGGAACATGACCTTGACTCCGTGTCACCAGTGCCGAGTTCACCGTGCCTCCTCATACTTCCGGGTAAGTACTACGAACCAGAAGGATTTAAGTACTCCTTAGAGGTTGCGAGGCTGACACGTACCTAACTAAGTCCACCTCCACACTGGCACGAAATGGTATGAGACAAATGAACCTGTGACCACCTATCCATCCATCTCTAAACTAACCCGTGTGCCTGTCCACCAGCACGACGAAACCTTCCTCGTGACGCAGGGAACGCTCCGTTTCCACGCCCTCAACGGACAAACCGTCGACGCAAAGCTGGGCGACTACGTGACGGTGCCGCCGCGGTCGCCGCACACATTCAGCAACCCCTACGACCAGGAGGCCAAGTTCTTCAACACGTACACGCCGGCCTTCTACATCAACTATTTCCGCCTGCTAGCCACCATGAACCAGCAGGGCCAGCCCATGAATCCAGAGGCGAATCGTAAGGCCATGGCCGTAAGTTTCTCTCCCTCCGAGCTAGTGACACCCCATCCATTTCCAATTCTGTGGCAATACCCGTTGCAAACGTGCTGATGATGCCCCTGGAGGGGCCACTGGGGCACAGTATTTCGCCACCATTGGCGTCGCGGACGACGAGATGCAGATGGACAAACAGCAATTCTACGGCGAGGCGGACCCGTCGAAGAAATGACAAGGTCTTGGACGGTAAATGTCAGAATAAGGAGACCTGTGAGGGTTGGTTCTTGGGTAGGAGGAAGAAGAGCAGCAGCAGCAGCAAGTAGATGATCAGAGTCGAGCGGAGGCCGAAGCGCTCTTGAACGTCAGGCATGATATAGCAGGATATGGAACAAGAAAGGGCAGCGCGTCCACAGCCTCCGGCCCGTGGTGCTCGTGATGCATGACCATGACCATGACCAGACCCCATTCTTTCTTTTCTCGTGTCCATTTCAGAAGCAGGACTTCAGCCGCTGATTTCTCAGACGAACAAGCCCCTTTCCACCACTTAATTTCAGGGGCACTCTCCCGTGGTGCTTCGCTGCATGTCTGCAAGGGGGAATACGACGTGTAATCATCACGAGTCGCCCGCCGGTTAGTCTGCTCCTCATCAAAACCCAAATTTGCGAGCGTCGGACCGCGCTCACTCGTTTAATCGACTTTGGATACCACTGTACAAGTTTGTATAGCATTTCTTCTTTGCCCCAGCGCCTATTTAAGTTGAAAAAATGGGACAAATCTGCCCAAGTTACCTTATGCTTCCGAGACAAACACACCGGCCATGCCCATGCCCGTGCCGACGCACATACTCGTGACACCGACTTTCTGCCCGCGGCGCTTCAGCTCGGAAAGCAGCGTCACCACTTGCCGCGTGCCCGTGGCGCCCAAGGGGTGGCCGATGGCACTTTGTAGGTTGTCAGCAAGATCCTTCCGTGGTGGGGAGGAGGGGAGAACAGGGTTGAGGAGGAGGGAAAAGAGGAAGGGGAAACAACTTACATGGCGCCTCCGCGGACGTTGACCTTGTCGATATCCAAGCCGAGTTCGTTGACGCAGTAGACGTACTACCATATAATTTAGCCCTAAGAAAGGACTTATGCCCAACGGGGACGGAATGGGAGGGGGGGAAAACTCACCATCGAAGCAAACGCCTCGTTGATCTCAAAGAGATCCACATCGTCCTTGGTCAGGCCGGTCTTTTGCAAGATCTTGGGGATGGCCAGACTGGGGCCGATGCCCATGATGCGCGGGGCCAGGCCGACGACGGTGCTCTTGACGTACTTGCCGATGATGGGCTGGCCCAGTTTCTCGGCGGTCGAGCGCTTCATCATCAGCACGGCGGCGGCGCCGTCGGTGACCTGCGAGGCATTGCCTCCCGTGGTCGTGGGACCCCATTGCGGGAAGGCAGAGCGGATCTTGGCGAGCCCTTCGTACGTGGTGCCCGGTCTGATGCCGTCGTCCTTGTCCACGGTGACGGTCTTGGCCTGCTTGGTGCTCGGATCGATCCATTTGGTGGTGACGGGCGTGATCTCGTCGCGGGTCCAGCCTTCCTTCTGCGCCCGCTCGGCGCGGTTGTGCGACATCTCGGCAAACTTGTCCTGCATCTCGCGGGTGACGTGGAAGTCGCGCGCCACGTTCTCCGATGTCCAGCCCATGGGCTCGACGTTGTCCTTGGCGATGGGATGCGACATGATGGCCTCGCTCATGGGCGGCGGGGCGTCTCGGTTGGTCGACATGCTCTCGATCCCGACGGCGATGCCCACGTCGATGGCGTCGATGGCGATCGAGCTCGCCAGCGTCTGGATGCTCAACAGGCCCGACGAGCAGAATCTCGAGGCGACGCTGGCGGCCGTGGTCACGGGGAACCCCGCGGCGAGAACGGCGCTTCTAGCCACGAACCCCGGGGCAGGTTGCAGGACATTTCCCACGCAGACATCCTCGACCAGGTCCGGGTTGATGCCGGACTTGTCCTTGATGGCCTTGAGGACGTGGATCAGTAGCTCGTCGGTGGGCGTGTCCTTGAACCCGCCCTTGCGGGCCTTTGTGAGGGGCGTGCGCGTGGCGCATGTGATGACAATGTCGTCTGGGTTCTTCTCGAGGATTTTCTGCAGCCCGGGAGAGTGCGTCGTGGTCGAGGTGGAGGAGAGTTGGCCGGAGATGGCGTCGAGGCGTCTTTGGGCGCTCATGGTTGCTAGATGCGAGCAGGGGACGACGGTGGAGAAGTTCAACAGGCCACTAACACAGAAACTAGAAATCAGAGGGGATAGAGATCAGGTTATTAGAGCGTATAAATTGTACAACAGCAGAAGAGATAAGTAATATTAATATTTTCCCACCTCCATCAAAGCGTCAAGGTGTCGGTGGTTGTTCGAGTGGCTTAAAGCAGCAATTCATGTCAAGATGAAAAAGTTGCCTCGGTATCTGGGAATTTTCTGCTTCCGGCAGTTGTTCCGGGAGACAATCGAGAATATCGAGTGACCACCTGCATCTCTCACACTCGTCTCACTGTCGTCTCACCCTTTCTCTGACCTCACCACCTAGGTACAGTGTTGACCATCATGATCGGAACATTCCACACCATCCATTGCCTTTCTCTCTTCCCAAGTCACTCTTATTCGCACTATCCAGCTCCTTACTACCTAGGTAGATAGAACCTACTGCTCAAGAAAGCTCTTTATTCCCACTGGCTGTGGACAGAATACATGTCGCCAGAGAGCAATTAGCGCACTGGCCCCACCTCCACATCCAAGCGACTCTGGACCCCCAAGCGACCCCTTCGGAGTCTTGGGGGGAGATCGGTAAGTGTGTCTCAGGCCCCTTCAGGCCCCTTCAGGCCTTCAGACGTGATCCAAACAAGAGACAAAGAAACGGTTAAAAAGAGACATGATTGTGGGGGATGCACCGCACATTCTCTGACCCTCCCCTCCTCCTCTCTTAGACACCTTGCTATATATCATACACTGTTTCATCTAGCATCCCCGACACTCCTCTTGTTCGTCTCTTTCCCCCCATTCCGCATCTCCCTGGCGCCCGTGGGGCTCCCCAAGGCCGCCGTGGCTGCTGGCTCGTTTACTAACTCAACTGGACTGAACGTGGGTTCTCGGCCCGGGGAACCGCGTCGTGTCTGGGGGACAAGTATCCCGGCTCTCTTTACTCAAGTCGCCCTCGTCGTCTGGGGACTATTCCGAACTACCATCTCTGGTAGCAAGCAACCCTCCTTCACGCGCGGAATTTACATTTTACGTCCGTACGACTCGGTCAGATCATTCCAGCCTCGTTCGTGTCGATTTGCCAAGGACTATCCGACACGAGAAACGTAAGCTCCTGGTCCTAGTTGCAACCAGAGAGAAATAATACACTACGCCACCTCAGTACTGCATTGGCCTTAAATCAGCATCAAATCTCACGACCGAGGCACGGCAGCTTCGAACGGGAGACGAGGTCGTGCTCGGCCAAACCCTTCTAAAAAGATCCCTATTTTCAGCTCTGTCCCAATATCTCCCTTTCGTCAAAAAACAACGTCGGGCAATAATCTCCTCGAAGCTTGGTGCCCTTGAAGATGGCCACCATAGCGGCATCCACCGCCGCAGCCGCAGGTCTGCTCTACTACGCCGACCAACGCATCGGAGTCAGCAGGGACATCCAGCACTACCGTCAGGAAAAGTCCTTTACGAAGCGTATGCTCCAGTTCGTCGATAAACTTGGCCCTCAATCACCTCACATATATCGCATGCTGGAACTCTGCGACCCAAACGCCGACGCATTATGGTTCGAGGGCCGCTCGTGGAACTTCAGGGCGCTGAAAGCTCAGGTGGATGAACTCGCGCTCGGTCTGAAGGAGGGTCTGGGTGTCAAAGATGGCGACATCGTCGCTGTGTTCATGACCAACTCGCCCGAGATGGTTTCCATCATCTATGCCCTGACCAAGTTGGGAGCAGCGCCCGCGTTGATCAACAACGCCCTCAGAGACGACACATTACTCCACTGTGTGCGGCTGCCCAAGTCAAACCTGATCCTCAGCACTCCGGATCTTGCTGGTTATGCGGCGTCAGCGGCACAGTCAATGGGCGGCGGAGCTGTCAAGACCGTGAGGTTGAATCTGGGGTCATTCCGACCTACGCCGCTGTCAAGCGACAATAGCGGCGGCGATATAATCGACTTCCCCTTCCCCGACCCATCCCGATCACCGGCCTCGTCTCTACCTCCGACACCACCCAAGACCCTCGGCTCAGTCGCCGCTCTGATCTATACTTCCGGGACGACAGGCAAGCCCAAGGCGTGCAGCGTGAAAAACGGCCTCATCTGTGCCGTGGGATGCACTTCATCTTCGGACGCCGCCAACCCCAAGAAATACCTCCAGGGTCTCCGGGCGTATTCATGCATGCCTCTTTTCCACGGCACCACCTTCTTCGCCGGCATGTGCTACTCGGTGGGGCAGGGGGGCTGTTTCATTCTCGCGAGAAAATTCTCGGCCAGAGGGTTCTGGAAGGACGTGCACGAATCGCGCGCCACGAGGATCCTGTATGTCGGGGAGTTGTGCCGCTTCCTCCTCGCCACCCCGCCGGGGCCGTACGACAAGGACCACCACGTCCTCGTGGCCGCGGGCAACGGGCTGCAGAAGGACGTCTGGGTGGCGTTCCAGGACCGCTTCCGCGTGCCCGAGGTCCGCGAATTCTACCGCTCCACCGAAGGGCTCGTCAAGTTCGACAACGTCCACCGCGCCGGTCGCCCTGGGGCGGGGAAAGTCGGGTACCTGGGCCCCCTGAGGAAGAAGATTCTGGAGAAGGACCAATTCATCATCCGGTTCGACTACGACACCGAGTCCCCCATCCGCGACCCCAAGACGGGCTTCTGCATCGTGTGCCCCAAGGGCGAGCCCGGCGAGGCCATTGCGCGGATCCACAACCTGGCCACCTACACGGATTACCACAACAACGAGGCCGCCACGGAGCAGAAATTTCTGAGGGATGTCTTCGAGAAGGGCGACCTGTTCCAGCGCAGCGGGGATCTGCTGGTCCAGGAGCCCGACAACTGGGTGAGGTTCGTGGACCGCATCGGCGACACGTACCGCTGGATGGGCGAGAACGTGTCCGCGGGCGAAGTCAGGGGTTTCATCTCCGAGCTGCCGGGCGTCAAGGACGCCGTCGTGGTCGGCAAGCGTCTGGCCAAGTATGACGGACAGGTCGGCACCGCGCTGATCGTGCTCGACCCGGCCATCAACAACAACAGCAGTGCTAGCGAGAAAGAGCACGGCACAGACCCACTGGCGGGCGAGAAGGCGTTCATGAGCCGCCTGTTCCAGGCACTCAGAGGCAAAGGCGTGCCCCGCTACGCCGTGCCCCGGCTGGTCATGGTGCGCGACGAGCTGGTCGACGTGGGCGACACCTTCAAGCACGCAAAGACCGTGGTCAAGAACATCGACTGGGCCGCCGGCACCAGCAACATCACCACCACCAACGCGTCCTCTGGCCCCATGGCCAAGACCAGGAAGTATTACCTGGACCTCGAGGAGGAGCGCTTCAAAGAGCTGGACGCCGAGAGTTGGAAACGGATCGACGAGGGAAAGGCTAAGTTGTAGCCTTTAGCTCCTAGGCACAGGACTTAGATTGTGTGCATGTAAGAGATATCAGTTCCCCTGCTGGCGTACTCACTATATACTTCGAAAGAATAGATCGAGAAGAAAAAGAATTTCATCGTCGTCACTGTCGCCCTGTTGCTATATCCATGTGCTGTCTGTCCAATTCCTTCTTCTCTACTTGCTGCTACCTGCTTGCTGCTACCTGCTTGCTGCTACCTGCTTGCTGCTACCTGCTTG